CAGAGATTCAAGAACCGCATAGAACTACGCACACAGGAACAACCACTCGTTGCAAAACACATAGGAGGAACAATTCGCGCATGAAACGACCCCAGCCGCACCCGCCGCACAGACGAGGTACCTTTCTTCGCCGGCTGCAGCCACTTTACACGGAAAAACACAAGGTTTCGTGCTCCGGCTTCCTCCCCAAAACATAACCCATGCAACATTCATGCAGCCATTCCAATGCGATCTGCAACCACAGCTTCAAGAACCGCATAGAACTACGCACACAGGAACAACCACTCGTTGCAAAACACATAGGAGGAACAATTCGCGCATGAAACGACCCCAGCCGCACCCGCCGCACAGACGAGGTACCTTTCTTCCTTTCTTCGCCGGCTGCAGCCACTTTACACGGAAAAACACAAGGTTTCGTGCTCCGGCTTCCTCCCCAAAACATAACCCATGCAACATTCATGCAGCCATTCCAATGCGATCTGCAACCACAGCTTCAAGAACCGCATAGAACTACGCACACAGGAACAACCACTCGTTGCAAAACACATAGGAGGAACAATTCGCGCATGAAACGACCCCAGCCGCACCCGTCGCACACACGAGGTACCTTTCATCGTCGCCTGCAGCCACTTTACACGGAAAAACACAAGGTTTCGTGCCCCGGCTTCCTCCCCAAAACATAGCCCATGCAACATTCATGCAGCCATTACAATGCGATCTGCAAACACAGCTTCAGGAAACGCATAGAACTCCCACGTCCCCACCTCCCTTCCTCACCACTCCCCTTCCTCACCACTTCCCTTCCTCACCACGTCCCTTCGTCACCACTTCGCATCGTCACCACTTCCCTTCCTCACCACTTCCCTTCGTCACCACTTCCCGCCATCACCACTTCCCTTCCTCACCACTTCCGTTCCTCACCACTTCCCATCGTCACCCCCTCCCTTCCTCACCACTCCCCTTCATCACCACTTCCCTTCGTCACCCCACTTCCCTTCCTCACCACTTCCCATCGTCACCACCTCCCTTCCTCGCCACTCCCCTTCATCACCACTTCCTTTCGTCACCACTTCCCTTCCTCACCACTTCCCATCGTAACCACATCCCTTCGTCACCACCTTGTGTCATAGCTTCTTATTCTTTTGTTTTGTATTATTAGATTATGAATTGTTCTGTGATCTACCACCCTTCATCATAGTCAATTGCATCAAGTAAAAGTCATTCGTAACTCGGAAGTATTGCTTCCCAACTTCCTTTGATTATATTATATTGTATTATATTATATTGTATCATATCAAATTATATTGTATCATATCATATTATATTGTGTATATATATATATATCAAATGATATGATATCATATTATATTATATTGTATTATATTATACTATTTCATATTATATTATATTGTATTATGTTATGTTATATTTTTTGTTTTATATTACATAATATTATACATATAATATCATATAGTTATATTCCAAGTAAGGGCTGGCAAGTGGAAATGCTTATCATGATATATCCGCAGAAAAAAAAAAACCTGCAACATCCTCACTGAACAACCATCAGCTCACCTGGGGATGCCTCATGTCATCCACAGATTTCATATGTTGGGCGCATCTGTTTGAATGAGGATGAGATTATTTATTCATTATTATAGATGCAATGATCATTATTATTTTGACTCTTGGTATTCATTGTCGTTGCTGGTAATATGATACTAACAACTATACTATTTATAATTGTCACTATCATTATAACTATTGTCCCAAAAAAAAAATGTTGTGTTACTATCATTATTCTGGGTAAATTATCATATTTCACTAACCTGAATTGTTCGGCCATTTGGGGATCATTTCCCTTATTAACCATATTTCCACCGTTCGGGAGAACAGTGAGGTCGTGATGAAATTTACCCAAATACTATAGCCATTTAATAAACCACCAATTTTTTATGGCTTATACTGTCCATTTATGGTAAAATGGGGCTGGCTTACTATTGCTTTACTCACATTTATAGATGAGTTTCCCATTTACAGATGATTTTTCCCATTTTTGTGTTCCCAATATATTGTGTTACTACCCTCTGGTAAACTAACATAGCTATTGAAAATGGCCATCTATAGTGGATTTACCCATTAAAAATGGTGATTTTTCATAGCTATGTTAGTTTACCAGAGGGTATCATTATTGTTACTATGATCCATGGCAGCTCCCATTTTTCGCACTCACGGCCTGGAAGGATCGGCTGGGCTCCTCACATCCGGTGATGGCAGGAAGCGAAAGAAAAATCACAACAGGCTTCATCTTTTGGAGGTATCAAAACAAGATCTCTACGATATTTTTCGAAAACTCACATGTTTTACATGTTTGTCCAAAAATAAAACGAAAATGATTGGGTTCCATGTTACCCTCTGGTAATTTAACATAGCTATGGAAAATGGCCATTTATAGTGAGTTTTCCCATTAAAAATGGTGATTTTCCATAGTGACTTGGAGGCTTCCACCAGCTGTCCGAACGAACTGGAAAAGCTCCTGATGACGACAAGGAGGGGACAACGGCCTGGCTGGACATGTGAAAAGGGCGCTAGTCCCCTGGCTGGACAATAGGAATGACAAGCCAAATATGATTTATTTCAGGTCTATGAAATCTATGAAATCTATGAAATCTATGAAATCTATGAAATCTATGAAATCTATGAAATCTATGAAATATGAGAATTGCTCAGATGCTTGATGCATCTAGATTTGAAAATCTAGCTATTAACTGGAAGAACCCAATTTAATCCAATTTAAGAATCCAATTTAATTCAGGTCTATAAACTCTACCCTCTTGTAATTTAACATAGCTATTGAAAATGGCCATTTATAGCTGATTTACCCATTAAAAATAGCGATTTCCCATAGTTATGTATAGAAAGTTCGTGGATTTACCCATCAAAAACAGGTGATTTAACAGTTCGCAAGCTGTTACTTCGCCAGAGGCTAGAGGTAGATCAACCACTTCGTCCTCACTCAGGGCCCCAGGAAGGTCATCCTGGGTGCCGAAAAGCTCTTCCAGCTGTGGGACGCAATATACCTTCATGCCATAAACCACCCATATAAAAATGGTGATGACTGGGGGATGGGATAGTATATCCCATCAAAGAAAAAAACAGCCAATCAATCTACCCTCTGGTTATTTAATACAGCCATGGAAGCCATGGCCCATAGAAATAGATGGTTTACCGTTCTTAATAGCATTGTGATTTTCCATGGCGAACTGTTAGCATGTTCGCCCCAAGCGTCGCCCCAAGGCCCCCGACAGCGCCCAGCGTGTGCCGTTGCCGCAGAAGCCCGTAATGGCCTGGCATTTACGGCACCGGAAACCTCTGATTTACCTTCTAAACTAACATATGGTTAACATATGGTTAATACACTGTTAATAATGGTTAATGTTAATGGTAATTATATTATGGTTAATGATGGTTAAGTACTTAATCTGGTTGGTGGTTGAGCCTACCCCTCTGAAAAATGATGGACTGAAAGTCATTTGGGATGATTTGTCCATTCCCAATATGATGGGAAAGTCGTAAAATTCCATGGTTCCAAACCACCAACCAGTAACAGTTTGCGAACTGGAAAATCCACCATCGAACTTACTTCGGTAAATCCACCAACTAACTCAATGGCAATTTTCAATAGCAAACTTGTATGTTTACCAGATTATATATGAACCAAATACTCAGGATGATCCAGAGGGTAAATCAACTATTTCTATGCTTCATGTTCAATAGCGAACCGTTAAATTACCAGAGGGTACAACCGCATCATTGGAAAAAATGATGATGTCAGCCATCTTCCAAGATGCGTCGAAAATTGGGCTAAACAAAAACGAAATTGGAGGTACGAAGTATCGGAAAACTAGTGGGACAAAAAAACAAGGTCACAGCCAAAAAAGGGAGTTATGATGGCTTTCGACCAAGGAAAACGACAATGATGGTAATCTAACATGGTAATTAAAGTAATTTTAAAAAAATAGGAAGCCCATGTCGCAACTGACCACATTTATTTACAGCACAGGAATCCACGAAAGATTAAACTTCACCAGTAACTCAGGTTTAGTATGCCATTTTTGCACTCTTTCAAAGCTGGAAGATCCAGCATTGACAGATTGGCTATGAAAATTGGTGATTTTGCATTGCTTCAGTGGTCAGTAAATAGTACCTGAAGCTTCAAGCAGCACCCATCCGGGACAAATTTCCACGAACCAAAAAGGTTTGCTGACTAACAAGGATGGCAAGGTGGCCAGCGTCAGCAACAAGATGTAGAGAATTGGTAATCTTGGTGTGTAAACCAGTGGGTACACCCATCATTATGTGATGTTCATCGATTTTGCGAGCAGTGGCAGCTATCTGCAGCAGCATTGCTGATCTACAGGGAGATCTCGTTGCTTTCCCAAATTTCGAGAAGCATCTCTAGATGGCGGTGGGCCAAAACCTTTGCACCCTGGTGAACCCCAAAATTGCTAGTAAATGGATGCTTATCCCCCTGAAGTTTGGTACTAGTTACTATAGGTTTCGATCCATTACGTAAAGAAAAAGTTAGTATAGGCGGACACGCCCCATTGCAACAACTTTTCTTGCGCGCAACAACAGAGGGGGGCCCCCAAGCCGCCCCTTCGATCTCTGTGCACATCGCAGCAGCTATGGGGGCCGCCTCCCAAACGCTCTCCCAAACTTTCGGTCAGCTTTCATCCCATCCGATGCTGGGTATCCTATTTGAACCTCCCCCTGTCCAACTGGGTAGTTCTACATCATCCACCTGGGATCCATGTCACAATGGCTGACTCTGCACACGAACCTTTGGTTGGGATGAAACCCTGACCATGTCGAAAAGTGTCGTGAAAACGAGAAAAAGCTGGCGAAGGTGGCTGTTTCAACCCAGCACTGCCCGATGAATGCCGCAACGAATTTCTGCAACTATGGACAAATATGGACAGCCCACTTCTGTGGGCATTTCAGAGCCTCAATCCACAGTCCTTGGTCGACAAAGTCGTCTCATCCTCCGCTTGCTCCAGAATTTGCCTTGAAAAATCCATTGAAATCGACCAAGTCTTGGGGCGAAAAAGAGGGGATTATGGGATTTCATAAATAAGAATGGGTACAAGGACGATGGCGAAGTTGACGCAAATAACTTGGGAAAACCAGAGTCTATGGTAAATATAGATCTATAGTTCACAGGGTTTATAAGCCAACCAACATAACTAGGGTTCTCTCACCTCGCGGTCAAAACTCTTGTGGGACCTGGGGTCGATGGTAGGAAGTTATGGGTCTTGCCATCCATTGTTAGGTTTTAGATAGAATCCTTCAAAAAAGTTCTGGGAAATCACCAAGCTAACGGCACATTCATTGGGTTTGTTGGAAAATAGGCTACTCTCCAAATTTCATGGTTTATCAGCAGTTTCCCCATCTTCAAAACTGCCATTTTGGGAGTATACCCCCATATCCAAACATCTCCATGTTGGATGGTCAGCTTACACATCCTTGCTACAGGAAGCACAGAAACTCACTATGGCTCTATGCAGTTGCAATCTATTGGTCCCCATCATTTCCGGAACCAGCAAGGCTCACAAAAGATTCCATGTGTTGGTGGTTTACATCACATATGCGCATCTGTATCGTGGTGATCCATCGTTACTGAAAGCACCAACCAATTGGGTCTGCAGTACTTTTTGACCGGAATGCGTTCTTTCCATCTGGTGCTGGCTTAAAGTTCCACATGCTTCTGGTTTCCACATCATTCAACGTCTATGTTTGAGACTTCTTAAATCCTTTAGGATGCCATTTTTGGCAAATATTTTTTCTATGTTTTTTTAATGATTTGCAGATATGATTTTTTTATGGTTGAGAAAATGACTTATGATTTTTTTATGGTTTTGAATACGTTTTTTTAATGATTTGTTTATGGATGGGAAAATGACTTATGATTTTTTTATGGTTTTGCTAGAGTTTCTCTGTAAAAATCAAATTTTCTGGTGGAAAGGACTTCAGGGAAGAGGAAATTCTAGGAAAATCGCAAAAAAAACGTAAAAAAAATCGAAAATTGCTCGAGTTTTTAGCTGAAAACTAGAGTCTGGGGACCTTGGAAGCATTTACGATTTTTTTAAGATGTTTTTACGATTTTCCTAGAGAAACTCTAGCAAAAACATAAAAAAAATCGAAAATTTCTCGAGTTTTTAGCTGAAAACCAGATTCTGGGGACCTTGGAAGCATTTACGATATTTTTACGATTTTTTTTACGATTTTTTTACGATTTTTTAACGATTTTTTTAAGATTTTGTTACGATTTTCCTAGAGAAACTCTAGCAAAATCATAAAAAATCGAAAATTTCTCGAGTTTGTAGCTGAAAACCAGATTCTGGGGACCTTGGAGGCATTTACGATTTTTTTTACGATTTTTTTTACGTTTTTTACGATTTCCATGTATGATTTTTTACAAAATACAATGCCCAAAACCATATCCAAACCGACCCATAAAAAAAAAACGTAAAAAAAAAAAACATAAAAAAAAAAATCATAACCACAATTTGAACCCATTAAAAAAAACATAAATGAAAATCGTATTCAAATCATAAATAAATCATAAAAAAAATATTTTGAAACCCCTCCATCCTAGAGACTTAGGAACTCTCAAGTCTATGTCTTATATATTGGTTCTTATCCCCACATGTTTCCCGGATCTATTCCCCATTTTGCTCAAGACTTGGTTTGCATTCCCATATATATATATATACATATATATACATATATATATATATATAGGTAAATGATAAGAATTCACCAACCACAAAGTTCGGCCATTTGGGGATTAATTGTTCCCTCACTAATCATAAGTTCCAGTGATGTTGTCATAATTCCCCCAGATATTTCTCAGCTGATCAGTGGTTTCAAGCCACCTGAAAAATAGCAGTCATTGGGGATCATCATCCCATTTTTCCCCACATATGCTAGAACTAATATGTATATATATATATACATAGGTATATATATATATATAGGTATGAATATATATATATATGTATATATATATATGCCTATATAATATGTATTTATACCTATACATATGTATATATATACCTATTATGTATAAATATATATATATACATAACACAGTGGTACTCCATCTCCCCTTCTTTCCGCCAGCCAAAATGGCCTCACGTTCTCAGCCACGACCTTGGCGAACTGGTCGAAGGGCAGGTGGTTCGCCTGATCCTGGAAGGGGCGCTCGCAGGCCACGGCCGCAGCTTCCACGCCTCCATTGGTGGCGTCTCGCTTCGGTGGGAGCTGATCTGATCCCAGCAGATCCCAATGTGAGGATGGGAAAGATGGGGAAATGATACCAGCAATAACAATTTTTTGTGTTAGCATCCCCTTCAAAAACGTCTGATGGATAATGATTTTTATTTGGAAAGCAAATACAGTAAAATCACCCTCTGTCGTCCAACATAGCTGGCTGGGAAATCCCCGAACTAAATGGAGGTTTCTAGCTGGGAAAATCATCTACAAACGCGAAAATTTCCAGCAAGCCATGTTTGACGAAGAGGAGGAACCCTTGGCCTCTGGTCATTCCCCAATTAGGTGCAACCAAGAAGTGCATGACTGCTATACAACCAGCAGTGGCTGGAAGCCACTGGCAGCACAGGCATCCGCCCTTTCAAGAGGCAGCTTACAAACTGGCCATCCCCAAAAAAATGCAATGCCTCCTGCTCCCTTTACATCCATTGACTATATATATATATATGTATTATATATGTATATATACTAGAGATGGGCCTAAAAATATGGGGGTTTCCGAAGTCATAGGGGTACCCCTAGTTTAAAAAATTTACAAACATGAAAAGCCATGGTATTTCTTCCTTTACGAAACCAGTGTTTCAGACTTTGTCAACCTCCAAAAAAATATGTTGGAAACAGCGGCAAGTCGCCTAAGAGGGCGTAGGAGATGAGGATCACCAGCGGAACAGACCACCACGATGGCGTTCTCAACATCCAGGGCAGGCCCAGAAGGTAGAGCACCTGGCGGATTCGGATGTCATTCTGGCGCCTGTCATTCCAGTCATGGAGCCACCAAAAGGATGGTTAAAAGCCTATAAATAATGGGATGTTTACCACCTATCAACTGGTGCAGGAATTCGCAACTATCCACAGTATGTTGTCAGTATGTTGTAAGCCCCAAAAAGATGCAGATAGCTGCATTTCCAGGAAGATATAGATGAATATAGATGATGTGTTCCGCACAATTTCCATGTTTCCAACTGTTCTGTGCAATCTATCTGTTTGGGAGTTACTATGTTCTAATGATTTTTGGGCAAACCCAAACGGCTATGGAGATCTGTGGATCAGTTCACCCTCGTACGCTGGCGCACCAGAATTAGCTGGTCATGGGATGTTCCCCAAAGTCATTTCAGCAAATCGTAAGTTGTCACATTTGACCCATCCCCAAATCAACTTGCTGAAGATCTTGGCCGCACACTTCTCTGACTCTGCAGAGACCTACCATGGTGGGACCTTACAGGATGGTGCCCCCCAGTTATAAGTTTATAAACCCCATGAAAACTAGTTCGTTATATCTGCCATCAACCATAGTTAGTTATGGGAGTTATGTGAACCCCAACTGAACGCTAACGAACTGGGACCTGCCTTATGGCCCCCATTAAACCCACCACGCCCTGACGAGGGACCAAACAGGTTCGCAGGTGTGAGACATACGCGAAGGGCAGCGGCGTGTTGTTGATCCGTTCCATGGCTCCCATGGCACCAGTGAGGCTACAGATGTGCTCCTCCATACCTGGGGGAGCACCGAGAGATCCAGATGATCCATGGGGTGAAAATGGGAGTAAATTTCATATTAAACCATCAAAAACATTGGGGACTGGATTAAAAAAAATCCACCAAAATTATAAGCATGATATATAACTTACCAAAAGCTAGGTTCAACTAGTATCCAGTAAGTATGACCCAACGGAATCAGCAGGGTGTTCACATTGCCCTTATATACTAAACTCATGATCCAAACAGATCAAACTCAGCTGCAGCCACAATCCTCATCTTCCCCATCTCCTCACCCTGTTTCGGTGCCCAAGACACTCTGGAACATGCTGGCAACCAAAGGTGCTGAGTCCTTTGTGTTACTCCTGGTGGATGCACATAGTGCCATTTTCTGTGGAAAACTTTGCAGGAAAACCTTGAATTTACCACCCAACATCACCCAACTATTTCAGCTCAACCGCTCCCGTCTTCCCTTCAGAAAAGGTGTAAGCCTGGCCCAGAGATGATCTATATTTTCTATATATGCAAGGTTGAGCCAGTTGCACCATCCAGCTCGCCATAAATTTACAAGATGAATAGCCATGTGAATTGTCTGATACTGAACAACTCATTAATCCCAAATGTCAAGGGTGTCGGAATCCCTGTTGCTAGTTGCTCGCTGCATCCAATTTCTTCAGAGATTGTGTCTCGATCATCCATTATATATAGATATGTATATATATATATATATATATATATGCGCGTGCAAAATTTGCATGTGTATCTTGGATTCCTAAGGGGGCCTTTAAAAATGTAATGTTACATACAGTAATTGTACCAGTAGATTCCGATGAAGCAATGGAACTGTGTTTGAAGAAAGTCATCAGCAAAATCAAGGATCTGGGTGACACCAGCAAAGTGACGTAGCTCCTGGTGACTCTCAGAGCAGCTTGCCGCATGCGATCGCAACAGTAAAGAGTTTGCACAGGGGCCATCCTGGGACGTGGGGTGGGAGTGTGCTGCATTTCTTTCACTGGCTTTGCCCAGAAATGCTATGGTATACTGTATGATATTTTTAGAGGGAATTATCCAAAACGGTGATCACGAAAAGAATAGAAAAGTAAATCCCAAAATAGTTGGAATCATCTTTCATCGTTCGATCTTTCTTGGGACCTCATAGACCAAGCATCTTCAATCTCTCAATTTCCTTCTCCTTCAAGATTCCTCAGCGTGGATTAGCTGGTCAGGGCTTAGGGGGTTGTCAATTCACATGTGTCAATGGGAGAATGCCATGGCACCCATGGGGACTTCCTAATTCACCAGGCTTATGTGGTCGAGCATTGGGGAATGGAACCCTGAATTTTTACACGAAACAAAGCCGAAATGATGACCATGGGACTCTTGGGAAGCCCATTTTCAGGCCATGCGATGAAGAAACACTCTGGTAAACATACAAAAAGCTATTGAAAATGAGAAATAGTTGATTTACCCATTAATAGCATGGTGATTTTCAATAGTTATGTTAGTAATCCATATTACCTTGTGATTCCTGAATCCACTTTGCCTGTTGTGAGGCTTTGGAGAAAACCACGGCTGTGTTTTGAACATGTTGACATGTTGATAGATACTGGTCATTTACACACATGTTGGGTGTTGTGCTATCAAATCACAATGGTTGTGAACTAGCCGATTATATTCCAGTATATCCTCATTGTGCCACCAGTTTTCTTCTTGGGTGACATCCCTTCCTGCAAGTCACCTCCCATCTATTACCATGAAATATCCACCCTATCCCATGAAATATGTGTTTCTTGGTTTCATCCCTATCTTGGGAGGATACAAGTGAGCAGCGTTCCAAACCCTCTCCCTTTGAACCAAGCTTTGACTCCCAAAACTTACATCATCAAGCAACATGTAGTAGTTGTATCCACTTACATCATCTTATATCCCCGTAGTTTGGTGCTTAAAACCTTCATAAAAATCCCCAAACGAATCGAATCAACCTGGATAAATCAACCGCCAAACTATGACATTTAAAGATGATTAGAGCTTAGCTAACCATCAAAGTATGGGGAGAAATCAACCACCAGCTGTTTGTTTACCAACAATCAATGGATTGGTTTCTACAGGAAAATCTGAACTGGAAACCATAGATTTTCCCCGTGACATATGGGGTTTTCCGGTTTCAATTTTCCAGAAAACCAATCCATTGAAACCAACAAAAAAGGGGTTTTCCTAAGTCGTAGGGGTTACCAATCATCCAAAATCAGACTATACTTAGATACTTCATCATTGGATAACGTACCCTCTCCATTTTAAGAACCCCTCGCAACCCCTCATGACTAATCACTGTTTGTTTACCAACCAACCAACCAACCAACCAACCAAAATTCCTCCGAGTCGCCTTCCAGTTCCGCCAGCTCCCCCGGATTTTGCCGCAGGAAGTTCCGCGTGGCCACGGGGAAGCTGACGATCCAGCGGCACATCTCCTCCACCGCACCTCGGCCGACAAAAGACCTTGCCTCAGAAAAAACGACCAGATTGTGAAATGTAGTTATTCATTTATTTATATACATATATGTATATACACACATAGGTATGTACATGTGTGTATATATATATACATGAACTTCCCTGATTCTAGATATGTTCAAAATCATCATCGAATCCTTATTATGAAAGGGAAATCATCACATAATTCTGAGCGTAAAATGAAACATGACGTTTCATAGGGGTAAAAGGGACCGACAATGATGATATTATGTATGTATATATATATATATAGCGTTCAAAAAATCAGTGGGATGTGAATCCAACTGAAGACTGTACTCCAATGGGATTTTGTTCCAATAGTTTTTTTTCACGGTCTGCAAATGAAAGATATATAACCCAATTTATGATAGGTAGAGTGATGCTAGACCATCGGATTCGAGGAGTGCCTAATTTTCAGGCAGACGTTTTTTGTTTTTCATGCGACTGTACCATTGCCACGCAAGATGGCCAAAGATGCCAAAGGGTAGATATCTCAACCTGAGTGTCCATGGAGATTGGTTACGAAGCAGTGACAATCTGAACTTCAGCTGAAGAACTTTCCATGCCCGGAGCATGGGTGTGGGCCCCCAATGTCGATCACAGATTTTTCCCTCGTTGAGAATCGGGCAGCCCCACCCAGATGAATTTCATACGCTATGAAGATGGTACCCCCCGAAAAAACGCAGCCCACACGGTTATGAAACCGGTGACCGGCCATCAACAATTAATAGATTTTTTGTGAGGTTGCCCACCCATCAAACCCCCAAGTATGATGAGTACTTGGCAATATTCCCAAGGTTTGAAATATGGTGAATGTCTTCGTTTTGTGCCCCAATTCGTTTCTCATAGTGTCAGTTGCTAACATACATGCCATGTTCAATGTTCTAGCTCTACATATATATATATATATAATATATATACACACACATGACATATATATATATACAGTATACTGTATACATCTCCATGTTTCGTGGCACTTTACCCCCACGTATCGGCGACCTAACCACAACCCCAGCCAGAGAGCACTAGCTGCACGAAATATGTACTGTAATGGTTTTTTCAGTGCGCGCACCTACACTTGGATTAGAAATATACCCTCTGGTAAACAAACAAAAAGCTATTGAACATGGTCATTTATAGTGGATTTACCCACTATATAAAAATGGTGATGTTCCATAGTTATGTTAGTTTACCAGAGGGTAGTTAATGTGGATATAATCCAAGTGAAATTCCAATGAGGTAGCAATGATTTTTCAGTGAATTCTCTATGACCAATATTCCACCCATGAATCTAGTTAATGTGGCTAAAACAATCATAAACCATCTCCCAGTCATCACCATTTTTATAGGTGGTATAACTTACCATTCCCAGTCATGGCTGGTTGATTGTTTTACCCACAGTAATCCTATTGGCTTACCCTCTGGTAAACTAACATAACTATGGAAAATCACCATTTCTCATGGGAAAACTCACTATAGATGGCCATTTTCAATAGCTATTTTGACATAACCAGAGGGTAACCTGCAATGCACCTCCACCGAGTTCCCACCGGAGTCACCTGGATCATGGACTCCGAAGCGCACCACCTCCCCCGCCAGCACCCGACAGGTTTCGATCAGCTTCCCCGCCGCCGCGCGCGCGTCGTAGAAGCGCACTGCGCTGCGGTTCAGGCGATAGACCAGCAGAAAGGATAAAGGCGTCAGCAGCAGGGCATAATCTTCCTGCGCTGAGAGAACTTTTTTTGGAGATATTTGCTGCTAGTGGATATATGCACTGGGATGTGTATATATATATTACATATACATATGCATCTGTTGTACGTATACAAGTTGATCTATTGTTTATTTAGCCAACAATATGATATCTAGGTTTTGTATCAGGGTTCAGATAAGGGGGGAGGAGTTGTGCAGATGGTTTTGGTAGATACAAAGCGGAATGCATAGGGTGCACAACTACAAAATGCAGTGCATGTTACTTTTTTTGCAGCTACAACATGAAGAACATAACTCTTTCTGAAACGGAAAATAATTCAAAACCAGTACTACAAAATCCAATGCATCTGAAGTTAAAAAATAGCTGAACGTCGGAATTGCTAACATGATTTTTCCCAATGACATTTTGTAGTTGGGTCTTTGCCATCCAAAGTTCCGACCAACATAAATTCGGAGAACGTTTTGTAGTTGTCAATGATTGAATTTAGTTGGATCAAGTGTTGACCCCGTGCAGTTTGTTAGATGGCATTCTGTAGCTACAAAATGCAAATGAGATTTTATGTTGGATGCTTCAACTATTCAACTTGTACAACTACAAAATGCTAATGAGATTTTATGTTGGATGCTTCAACTAACTCAACATATACAACTACAACATGAAAATGATGATTTGAAAGGAATCAACTACAAAATGATTCCAAATACAAAATGGGGGGCGCAACCCCTCCTGTTTGTACAAAAAAATCCTGGCTGGCAATCTGTACTGTAGCCCAAGTCCTCCCCATTTCGTAGCTGAAATTTGAAGGTGGATGGTTTTGTCCCAACAAAGTGGTGGATTTCTCCTTAATTTATGGCAGTTTGAATGGCGAAGATGAGGTTGGCAACTTCCCGAAACTTTGGCCAACCAACTTCGGGGGGGAATTTAGGAAGCCATTTTTCATGGAGATTTTCACGGGAGATACAACCATTCAATATACCCTCTGGTTATTTAACATAGCCATGGAAAATGGCCCATTTATAGATGGTTTACCTATTAAAAATGGTGATTTTCCATGGCTATGTTAAATAACCAGAGGGTATATATTTTTGGGTCTGTGCAAAGATGTGATCAAATGAGTTTTTGTTGAACCATGGGATAAAGCAGTGGGGTTAGATTTTGAGACCCTACTGACATGTTGAGCCAGGATTTTCTGAGCAAAGCTGGAGAGCTCCTTGCTGGTTCCACCAGAAAAAAAACAAAAACTAGAGACTCAAGTGACTTAAGGAAGAAGTTGTCACTGGACAAAACCATCAGAAACAGGGGATGCCTTGCTTCTTTTCTCATCAACCAAGATCATCAGCTGCCAAAAGGGGGCTGATCTATACCTGGTTTTCCTTCTGAAACTCTGAAATGCCCATTCTTTTGACCTCATAGAGCATGATTTGTATTGATATGTCAATAATATCTGCTGGTGAACTTGCAGTTTCGCTTCTCGGGAGGAAAATTAGAGGATCAGCACAACATAAGCCACACACTTGACCATGCTCACAAACCATCTCGCGGCTTCGATATGTCTGAACCCCAAATTGGAGGTCAGCTGTCATAAAGTACATGTTTAATCATGTTTAGAGTTTCGTTCACCAAAAAACATCAGAAACCTGGATTCGATATCCAGGAGTCTCAACCATGGCTCGAATTTCTCGGCCTGCCAAAGTGCCTTAAAGTGCTGTGATGCTGTGATGCAGAAAACTGGTCGAACATATCTGTGTCCATGCAATTTTTTGCCCCATGCCCAAAACGTGTTTTCCATCAAAATACACTCTGGTTATTGAACATAGCGACATAGCAGTATGGAAAATGGCCCACTTCGCAAGCGTGAAAAATCACCACTCCCAGCATCGGTCCTTGAGGATATCTTCCAGGTGCGGTAAATCCCATTCCCTTCCCAGCAGGTTCCGAGGATCTTTGGCCAGCGCGCAGAAGATCGTCATTAGGCCTCGGCCGCGGTGTACAGCAACCTCCAAAACGATGGAATAATAAACCATCCGAAATATCCTAAAGAGGGTGTTTTCTGGTTGCGAAAAAAAAATAAACCTTTCTTAAGTAAGACAGTACCCTGTATCCTAAATCGTATGTTCCATCTTTTTTGGTGACTGGTTTTTCGTGCAGAACTGCAACATTGGTTGAATCCACAGATCCTTGCAATGTTTCCCATGGCTACATGGCGTGGGGCCCCCCAAATGATATGAAGCCTTGGTTGGCTCAGGGTCACAATATCCACCTTGGAAATTGCTTGGGCCGCCCGGCTCCAGAAACAGGCTATGAATCTGAAAGATTAAGCGCTGGGTAACATTTCGGTCTCCAAGTCAAGAAAACAATAACTGCTCAAACCATTGACCTGGATAAACTATAGTAACTCACCAACCTGGTGTTCAAGAGCTGCAAAATCGTCCCTTTATACTTCCTGGGTTTACTGGGCATTCCCATGATATGACAAGCACCTATATATTGGGTAGAAAAAAATCTCCAAACTCATCATCAAATGCTCATTTGGGACGATTCCCCTTCTTGACCATCATTTCCAGTGACGTGAGGTTGTTACCCTCTGGTAAACATACAAAAAACTATGGGAAATCACCATTTTTAAAGGGAACATCAACTATTTCTATGGCCATTTTCAATAGCTTTTTGTATGTTTACCAGAGGGTATCATATCCCGGTTTGGTGGAAAAACAACTATTTCAATGGCCAATTTCATCATTTTCAATAGCTATTTTGACATAACCAGAGGGTATATGTTGTCCAGATCCAATGACTTCATATCCAGTGATGAGTTCCCCAAAACCCGCTCGACCATCTTCGACATCGCGCCATTTTGGGAGGTGCTACCCCCCATCCGGACCAGGGAGACGACCCTCTAGAAATCGTTTAGCAGCGATGAAAAACCAACATCTCATAAATGGCGGTTGATCCAAATTCCTTTATCTGAAGCCGGTCGTTCTTTGCGAATAAAAAAAAAACTACGTTCGCAAATCTTTGCCGAACCCCACGTTTATCTTTTGCGGGGGTCTCATGTCAAAATCTTTCGCGAAATCTTTCGCCCAAACAAAAAATACTTTTGCGAACTCAGAAAAAAACAAAAAAAACTTTCGCGGCGTCTCATGTTGGAACCCTGGGGCCCTGGCGGCCTTTGTAGTGGACAATCTCTACATGGACCTTTAGACCGCCAATCAAATAGATATATCATCATCAGTAACCTAACAGTTCGCCATGGAAAACCACCAATTTTGATAGGTAAATCATCCACAAATGGGCCATGGCTTCCACAGCACCGAGCCGCTGATGGCCAGCAGCGGAGGCAGCACGTGCAGAATGGGCCGACCCCGCAGGAAGAAGACTGTGCGGAACCATCCCTTGCAGTCACATCCTCCAAAACAACGTGACCTTTGTGTGACGTTTTAAGCCTCCAAACACTGGGATGTAACCCGACAACGATTGGGATGTAAGTTGATAAAACAACCCTAAGGCTCTGGGGATTCTTCTATGGATTGCGAGTTGATTTGTTGTAGATAAACGGTACCTGCAAGATAACCATGAATCTTGTGGCAGTTGTAACTATACAAATTGTCCTCTGCCAGGCCACTATCAATGTGCTGATCTATACTTAATGATAGCAACGAGTTATTACATATTAACATGCCCAGATTAATGATCATCTGTGGTTACTAAGTGAAGCCAACAAATCCCGCTGATTTTTGGGGCCATACCCCAGTTGTTTACCATCGATCCGAAGTTCCAGCAGATCTCACACGGAAGAAATTGTCCAAGACATCCCAATTGTGACAAAGTGCCCTGGTAATCCAGCATGGAATAAAAATCGCTTCTCCCCATTACCCTCTGGTTATGTCAAAATAGCTATTGAAAATGGCCATAGAAATAGTGGATTTTCCCATTAAAAATTGTGATTTTCCATTGCTATGTTAGTTTACCAGAGGGTTAAAAAAAAAACTCCCAAAGCAAGAAATGTTCCACGCTTCAGCCGATCTCCTGCAGTGTGAGCCTTGTAGGTCACCACTTCATGGGCCTGTGGTCGCACCGTACAGCAGCCGCCGCAGAAGCCGCACCCAGAACGGGCCGAACGGGGCTCCGGAGCTGCGCAGCTGCTGAGGGCTCGAAGCAGCCCATCGTCCGAGTCGGAGCTGCTGGAAGGCTGGGAAGCCATGGCAAGGGAATACTGTTGAAAATCGGAAACGATGAGTTTTTCGGAAACTGAGGAAAAAGCCATGGGTTTCGTCCAATTCTGGGATCACATGGTGGCCAACGGGGGAGGTTGAGGGGCGATAGTGTGGGATTCCCCTAAAGTCGTTGTTGGGTGGGTGGCACTTTTAAAGAAGCTCGAATAATCAGAGCAAATGGATACCTTGACCAATGAGGAGTTGTGACATGGGAAGTCCCTCGTTCCATGATGCCTTCTACTGGCTGTTTGATAAGCTGCGGAGATGCACACAGTACAGGTTGATGCAAGATTAGGCAGCTCTCTGAACAGACTTTCATGCGTTGATGTTGTGCTAACAAGATGTCTGGAGGTTTCTTTTACTGGCGACGAATTCCACAGTTACATTATTTCATCTCCAATATATACCCATGATATCCCAACCCATGATATTACCATATTATCCATCATCTGATTCTCCAAACTATGGTTATAGGATGTTATAGGATGTTATAGGCTATAGTGTCAGAAGATCTCAAGAATATAATGGTTGAAATTCAGAAGACACATCACTGTCATCACGAGTTGATTTCCCACTTTACCCAGCACCTTCGAACACCTTGGACCTGGAGACTGGAGCAATGGAAAGAGGGGGGAACCGCCGTGGAAAAAGATGGGAAAAATATGATGAAAAATGTGGAACATATGGTGAAAAATGTGGAAATGTTGTGAAAAATCTAGGAAAAATGGGGATGACATCCACTTCCATAGATAAGTCCTGCTAAGCCGACCTTCTATACCCTGCAAAAATGCTGTTCTGGCTCCAAAGTGAGCCATGAACCTACCATGGTTCACCATCAGACGGAATGGGCAGCATGTTCATAGTGTGTACCATTGTAGTTGCGTGACATGCCATGCTCCCAGTGGTGAACAACGCTGTGGTAGTTGCATGCCCAAATCCCACAACATAGCTGTGCTAAATTGATAGCCTTTTTTACCCTAGTTGTGGTAGTTATCAGTTCTGGCATGATAACTATGATAGGGTCAACATGATAATATCCGGGCAAATTATCATAAATTATCTACAGTTCCCAAATCAGAAATCAGCGCCATATTTGGGATGATTCGCCTCACGGTCATCTATGGTGACCTGGTGACCTGATAAAGTGCGGTTGTATCAGTTGTGAAATTACTGTGGTACCAGTATCAAACTACTTTGACATGCTCACGGTCAAAACCTGGTATATGAAGAGATGTCCTTTGAAGCTGGAATATCTGTTTCAATTATCCTCCCCATTGTTGGAAATCCAAATGGGCAAATATATTCCTCCCTATGAAAATGGATTGATGACCCCCATATCGAATCCATCTTTTCACAGGAAGCACATATGAATATGAGTGATTCTGGAAATGGAGTATACCCAAAAAAAATATCATAATGAACATGGACCACCTCAAAATAGGGAAAATTTATGACTCAGCACTTTTCAGGCCAATTGTTCAAACAAACCCATCTCCTTCATGGCTTCCCATACGCTGCGCGCAGATACGCTGCGCGCCTGCACGAGTTGGTCCATCTCCTTCGCGCCAGTTGGCACGAGTGGTGGTCAAAGCCGGCATCAGCCCACCTCCCAAGTGGTTAGTCGCAGCAAAAAGGGGACCTGAAATGGCTGGGATATGATGATCTCCTCAATCTGGAAAGAAAAGGCTGCTAAAGAGCCATTGATAGTTTTTAAAAAAAATGGGACATATTCATTTTGAGAAGTTGAAGCACGGGTGAAAATAGGCAATTGTAGCAGCTACAACATGCTATGATCAATCTGAAAGGCCATCTAAATAGGTGAGTTCTTCAAACAGCTGAAAATGATTTTGGCGATTTTTTTTGGCGATCTGTCCAATCCAAATTGCAAAAGTAAAGGTTTTAAAGGAATGTCAAAGTACCAAAATTGGTTAACAAAAAAAACTGTTTTTTGGGGTGATTTTCTGGGATTAAAATCGGTCACAACACCTGTTTTGTTTGGGGGGATTCCTGCAGGTCAAGGTAGCACAGCCCAAGAGTGGGCCTGTCCCACGGATAAATCTGTCGGTTATGCTGCCGAGCCGAAATGGCGTTGATGCAATAATCGGAAAATTCTAACTCCATCAAGACTACTTAGATGTGCATCCCACTTAGCAAGTGGCTTATAATATATAACCCGTATAATCCCAGTATTATACAGACATATGTGTATATATATATAATACATATATATATATGTGATATTCCATGTGTATATATATATGTATAACTGGTGGTATAAACCATTTACATCCATTTACTAAGTCGGATGCACCCTCTGGGAATGACCCAAGCGAACTGGAAAATCATCATTTTGAATAGGCGAATCATCTATAGACGCGCCGTGCTCATCAGTTTTCCAGAGCTCTGTTTAATTATCAGTGGGTATGTTAGGGAAATGGACGTAAACGAGAGAGAAGGCTTGTGGGATACCAACTCAAGAATATGGCACCCTCTGGTAATCTAGCAGCAATAGAAACTCCCAATGATTTTGCCGTTGAATCAACTCATCTGCAGGTGATTTCTCCTTGCCATTTTTTTCATTATCGGCGCTAGTCTGAATGGACTCTTGACTACAGGAGGACATGGCGTACTGTGTCAAATGAGTATTGGGTAATTTCACCCTGCCCTTACAAACATCCCAAACATGTTGCAAAGATAGATTGCGTGAGGATGTGAACTTCTACTATGTGCATCCCAGATAGCAAGTGGTTTATTATCTATATATATATAATGTTTGGGAATGATTAAAGAGATGGTACCCTATTGTGAGAAATTTCTTGCTCCTAATTCAGTCACATGCTAATTGTTGGGGGGGAACTCTATTGTGAGATTTTTTTCAGATTTTTTCATGTTTTTTTAATTATTTGTTATTTTTCAATTATTTTTTATTTTATTTGTTTATTATTATTATTATTTTTTCAATTTTAGATTTTTTCCAGATTATTTCATTTTTGTTTTTATTATTTTTTTTTCAATTATTTTTTATTTTAATTTTTTATTTATTTTTTATTTTATTTTTATTTTTTCAATTTTAGATTCTTCCAGATTTTTTCCAAATAATTAGATGCCTTATTAAACCCTTATTAAAAAACAGCACTCAGACAATTTTTCAAGGGTGTACCTCATGAGTGGCTCAGTTACTCAATAATATAATTGTTTGGATGGTACTCTATTGTGAGCACCAACTTTTGGGAGTGAAAAAAAAAACCTTTCTCCACCTTTCTTTGGGTAAAGCTGGTCCTTTTACTTTAGAAAGCCATATTTATGCTAAAGCTTTAAAATGCAAGGTTTTCCAAATAATTAGATGCCTTATTAAACCCTTATTAAAAAACAGTACCTGGACAATTTTTCAAGGGGATACCTCATGAGTGGCTCAGTTACTCAATAATATAATTGTTTGGATGGTACTCTATTGTGAACACCAACTTTTGGGAGTGAAAAAAAAAAGCAAAACCCTTTCTCCACCTTTCTTTGGGTAAAGCTGGTCCCTTTACTTTAGAAAGCCATATTTGTGTTAAAACTTTAAAATGCAAGGTTTTCCAAATAATTAGATGCCTTATTAAACCCTTATTAAAAAACAGCATCCAGACAATTTTTCAAAGGGGTACCTCATGAGTGGCTCAGTTACTGAATAATATAATTGTTTGGATGGTACTCTATTGTGAGCACCAACTTTTTGGAGTGAAAAAAAAACAAAACCCTTTCTCCACCTTTCTTTGGGTAAAGCTGGTCCTTTCACTTTAGAAAGCCATATTTGTGTTAAAGCTTTAAAATGCAAGGTTTCCCAAATAATTCGATGCCTTATTAAACCCTTATTAAAAAACAGCATCCAGACAATTTTTCAAGGGGGTACCTCATGAGTGGCTCAGTTACTCAATAATATAATTGTTTGGATGGTACTCTATTGTGAGCACCAACTTTTGGGAGTGAAAAAAAAACAAAACCCTTTCTCCACCTTTCTTTGGGTAAAGCTGGCCCCTTTACTGTAGAAAGCCATAGTTGTGTTAAAACTTTAAAATGCAAGGCTTTCCAAATAATTAGATGCCTTATTAAACCCTTATTAAAAAACAGCATCCAGACAATTTTTCAAAGGGGTACCTCATGAGTGGCTCAGTTACTGAATAATATAATTGTTTGGATGGTACTCTATTGTGAGCACCAACTTTTTGGAGTGAAAAAAAAACGAAACCCTTTCTCCACCTTTCTTTGGGTAAAGCTGGTCCTTTCACTTTAGAAAGCCATAGTTGTGATAAAACTTTAAAATGCAAGGTTTCCCAAATAATTCGATGCCTTATTAAACCCTTATTAAAAAACAGCATCCAGACAATTTTTCAAGGGTGTACCTCATGAGTGGCTCAGTTACTGAATAATATAATTGTTTGGATGGTACTCTATTGTGAGCACCAACTTTTGGGAGTGAAAAAAAAAACAAAACCCTTTCTCCACCTTTCTTTGGGTAAAGCTGGTCCCTTTACTTTAGAAAGCCATAGTTGTGTTAAAACTTTAAAATGCAAGGCTTTCCAAATAATTAGATGCCTTATTAAACCCTTATTAAAAAACAGCATGCAGACAATTTTTCAAAGGGGTACCTCATGAGTGGCTCAGTTACTGAATAATATAATTGTTTGGATGGTACTCTATTGTGAGCACCAACTTTTTGGAGTGAAAAAAAAAACGAAACCCTTTCTCCACCTTTCTTTGGGTAAAGCTGGTCCTTTCACTTTAGAAAGCCATAGTTGTGATAAAACTTTAAAATGCAAGGTTTCCCAAATAATTCGATGCCTTATTAAACCCTTATTAAAAAACAGCATCCAGACAATTTTTCAAGGGGGTACCTCATGAGTGGCTCAGTTACTCAATAATATAATTGTTTGGATGGTACTCTATTGTGAGCACCAACCTTTGGGAGTGAAAAAAAAATGAAAGTAAATTAAAAGTAAATTGAAATCAATTGAAATCAATTGAAATCAATTGAAAGTAAATTAAAAGTAAATTGAAATCAATTGAAAGTAAATTGAAATCAATTGAAAGTAAATTGAAATCCTTTCTTAAGTTGATTGACCAAAAAAATGTTGAGGGGGGGCAAAAAAAAGTGCGAGTTATAGAGTATCCTCAAATTGTTTGGGGGGGGGGCCCCTCACACTAATCAGACGCAAACATTATATATATATATTATATATGTAATATGCTTACAGTACTTGTTACCCACTTACAATTGCTAGGTTGCACCCCCAGGAACAGCACCGCTATTACGTATCTTTTAGGTTTCTATTTTTCAACCACTCCCAAAAGTCGTGAGCCCGCACACTGTGGCTGATACATCCAGAAAAGGAAGGCCATGCGTGGGCCGCTAAGTCTCAAAGTTTTCCTCATCCAATGGGTATCCAACTATCCTACTTACACAAGTATCAAATTCTCCAATCCTCCAAGCCTCATGGTTCCCACTATTTCTTGACCACAGATCAGGGCTCAATCCCAAGGCGGCCGAAATTTTCGCTGCGGGAACCTGTACAAAGGAGTCCCCGCTACGACTCCACCAAACATCTGGGGATGATGCCACTGAAACGTAACTGGGGTTATAACCCAGTTATATGTAAATATATAACCCCAATTACTAACCAGTGATATATAATCCTCTGGTTATCTGAATATATGGGACAACACCACTTCGGGGGGACCCTCTCTAACCAGCTAACCAGAATGGGTGATCCTCCAAGCAGCCTTTTTTTGGTAACATCAAATCTCCCACTTCCGAGATAGATCGATATTATTCGAAGCTCTCCATCTACCCACTTTGGTAAACTCATCAAAAAGATACGGAAAAAATCCCATGGAAAATTGCATCAGAAAAAAAACATTTGCCATGATCTTCTCATTCAAGCCTAGCCATTGAGTTTTGGGGATTTCCCGAGCTGAGCAACCTCAAGGATCATCCCCCAATCTGCACAGCGGGTGGAGGATCTGGATCTGCACAGCGGCGCCAGGTGAATCAATGGGGCAGCCCCATTTCTCTATGGCATCTTTCTGACTTAGTTTCGAGTAGCTGAATGATGACTGGTACATGGTTGATATATGTCAATGTGGTGAAAAATGTGGTTTTCCATGGATTTGGATTTTAACTAGATTACCCTCTGGTTATGTCAAAATAGCTATTGAAAATGGCCCATTTATAGCTGATCCACCCATTCAAGATTGTGAAAATTGTGATTTTCCATAGTTATATTAGTTTACCAGCGGGTAGTTAGATTTGAATGGTTTAAGAGGTGTCACCATCAAGGCTGGGAAGATCACTGGCCGACAAATTATGAACCTGGCCAACCTCACCATGATGTGTGAACCTCACTGGCCTCGCCCATGATGTGATAAAACATCCCAAAATTACTTAAGAAACTTACATGAGATCTTTAGGGAAATGTGTTTGGAAATGTGTTAAAAATTACTCATGATGTGTTTGGAAATTGCTACAATTTGATAAGATCTTTAATGAATCCGACAGGAAACCCACTTCTGCATGCCACAGCCATGTGGGGGGTTCCAACCCCAAAACTATGGCTTTTCCCTATGCAAAATATCCAAATTTCCCCAAGATCTTCGGATGATTTTGGTATCTTCCCTCTTTTCAAACGGCCAAAATGCTTGGTAAATCACCGCACAACGGGATGCTGCCCTGTGCCATGATCAGCGCCATGCCTTGGCAGAATCTCAGGCATCCAACATCTTGCCCATGACCTGCTTGATGGGAGCCCACAAACAACACAGCTGTAGGGGGTTGATCAACAATCATGGTGGTATAACAATTGGGATATGGCGGACTGTGAGTCGGATATCTCGCCGGAATATTGATAATGGCAATATCCTCTGGTGATCAAACATGGCTAGCTGGAACCGTTTACCCCCGTTTATACGAATGGATAGTCCCATTGGAATGCCCATTTATAGCAGACTTCCCCCTTTAAGCCAGGGAATTGCCGGGAATATCTTTTTACATAATCTGGATTTCCAAAAATTGCTGTTTCTGGATTTCCAAAACTTTGGGTAAGGTTCCATTTTCGTTGGTCAGCTTGCTCAAATCATCCCAAACAATTGTTTCATGGACAGCTTGCCCTCAAAATGACCTATTTGATCTGAACGCAGCTAGCATATCCTTCACCAACATTGTGACGTTCTATGAAGTTAGAAGAAAGAAAGGGAATCTGGGTATGTTGAGCTCTGCCCGTGCATCCACATTGGGATCATTGGGAAAATGATGGCTAGAGGGGTATGTTGAACATGTTTTTATATAAGCATCTAAAGATATCTAAAGGGGATAGAACCCGGTAGTACTGCAATATGCTGCATAATATCATCAAGCAATGGTTAGCTGCTGGTTTGACTTGGTGATTTAGAATCCTAGGATTGCCCGCTTGGGTTTCATTACAAAGGTATCCCCACCATCCGAAAGCACCATTTCAAACCATGGATGAACCATAGATATGCACGCCATGAATCTAGATGAGCTATCGTTTCCTTTGCAGTTCACCACCCTTCAGAGTTCAGCCTTGGAAGAGTTACCCCATTTTTTTCCCAGCAATCCAGTTCCTGATAATTTAATTCCTCTAACTATGAGACTAAACTGGTTACCATCTGGTTATTTAACAGTTCGCCATGAAAAATCACCATGCTATTAATAGGTAAATCATCTATTTCTATGGGCCATCTATACCATGGCGAACTGTTAGTCATAACCAGAGGCTAAGTCTTAAATCTCCAGATGGGTATGGATCAATACCTATTAATACCATTTTTAGGGGGATGAACATCCATTTATCAGCTATTTTGGTGTTCACTAGGTGCCAGGGTTTTGACCCATCTCCAGATGAATTCTATTAAAAATCCATGGTTTTTCCCCATTGTACCACTGAATCCCCATGGAATCACCAACCTCGGGGGATGGATCGATCGAGGTCTGCGTTCCCTCGACATCCTCGCCGTTCACATCCGAGGCCTTCTCGTCCTGGCATGGTGAGTGCCACTCAAACCTGCCATGGATTGGAAATTTCTCTTGGAAAACACCAATTTCTACAGGGGGCTGCAGATTTTCCCAAAAAAAAATCTGGGATATAGTGTTGGCTAGTTCTTTTGGATCTGAAACCATGAAATTCTTCCACGAATGACTGGTGATTGTATGTATGGAATCATCTTGTCGTGGAGGAAATTGATTGGAGCCACAAAAATCAGGCGCTATCAACAAGAAAAACAGGAGTGAAACTGATATGAAAGTGGTTTGATGTGAGCCACCCTAGATTAAAAAAAACAAGCACATTCATTTGGGGGTCCTTGAAAAAAAAAAACTATGTAAAAACGAATCGGTAGATAAATTTTGGGACTCTTGATGAGTGAGAACTGGGCAATGGCCACTGAGCGGAGAACCTGCTACTCTGATGGTCAAATCGCCCAAAAATATCCTCAAAAAATGCTGCTTCAATCCTCATTTTCTCATCAAATTGATCACTGAATCCCATGAAGTCCCGGTTTCTATGTTTAGTTTGGGGAAAATACCCACTACATTGATGCGACCCGACCTCATCCTGTAGGGAATAGGCCCAAAGGTTCAAGAGCGCCTCGAGCAGGCCGGTGAGAATCTCATGGGACGGGCATGGAGAAATCCGCCGTGTTTTGCCGATCGGTCTCCCAAATGTTGTTGATCTTGGAAGTTTTTGGGGAGCTCAAAAAAAAAATCGCTCCCAGCAAAGGTAAAAATGAGGAGCTTTCATGACCAAGAGAGGGAGTATTCACCCAGGAGAATAAGAATGCAACACCAAAAACCATGGATTTCACCAAGAATATGGCAATATGGGGGCATCCCACCTTTTCTCTGAAAAAATGGTGTACCTGGTATGTTTTTCTGCAGAAAAAAACGTGTTGTCAAAGATACCTGGGAAATTTTAGATAAACAAAATTTCCCATGGGAAGAGCATCCAAGAATGGTGGATGTTCCTTTTCCAGGTACGGTGTGCCATAGCATTCCATCAATTCAACGCCCGACACACCCAGGCACAACCAGGTCTGTGTCCTGATCATCATCATCATCATCATCATCATCGTCATCATCATCATCATCATCGTCATCATCTCTATTTATCCATCTATCCATCTATGCATCTTTCCATCCATCCATCCATCCATCCATCTATCTGTCTATCTATCTATCTATGTATATATATATATGTGTGTATATGTATATATATATATACAAAGAAGAAGAAGAAGAAGAAGAAGAAGAACAACAACAACAACAACCACGGCCGTAACCACAAACAGGCTGACACAGCAGGTGACCTGGTCTCATCAACTGGCCAAGACACCAGCGCAAAGGACTCAGCGCAAAGCAAGTGATAGTTCCTCGCTGGTAACACGACGAACACGACGAACGCGACTCGCTGAACACCACTGGGCTGGGTTTGTCAAGAAATGGAGCATGTACCCGGCCTGGTAAACATACAAAAAACTATGGAAAAACACCATGCTATTAATGGGTAAATCCCCTATTTCGACTGGGCCATTTTCAATAGCTATTTTGACATAACCAGAGGGTAACCGACAGAATGGTCGGCACAAGCTGACCACCACTTCTTTTTTGAGATCATGGAATAGGGACCAGGGACATGGTCCGTTTAGGATTCCTGGTGATGATGATTCAACCCAACTGTGATACTCCAGTAAAGCTTCACATAGCTATGGAAATCCACGGCTTTAGCGAATGATCTACAAATGCTGGAGTTGTTTCCAACAAGCTTTCCATGTCTTGTTGTAGATTTTTTTCTGGAGGATACCCACAAACCTCCGAGCCCATGGGTATATGTTACCAAGGCCAATGGCACCGCAGGTTGACCAAATCTTACCAACCAATGGGAATTCATAGGTATTAGCCTCTGGTAAGCCTTTACATAGCTATGGAACCTGACCCATTTGGTGAAAAATGAGCTACCTATCCAAAAATGCTGGTTTTTAAGAGCCCGTGAACCAACAATTACCAGATGCTACACTTCCAAAATCGATCACCAATTGAATGGCAAATAAGTGGTCCGCTTAAAACCACCCCCATCATCTGGAGTTCAGAAATCCTGAATCACTGTGTGCGTTGCCTTGTGCTGAAACAGGGCATCCCAATTCCAGTGGCTGACAGTGTTGCTGCCATGAAATTGCCCAAAAAATGGGGGCTCATCCTCCAACTTCAGAGTGACAGTATCGTCTATCAATCCTGCAGTTTTCCGATCATTTCACGAAGCGATTGATTCATTAGAAAGAACAAACGACGAATGAAACGACCCCAGATTCGTCAGTGTGATGGCGCTGACATTCTACTAATTACTAGTATATATATATATATTATATATATATATATGTATATGTTATATATATATGTAATTGTATAGATGACTATATAATTACATATACTTGAGTACAGTATGTAGATGGCAATGTCGACCATTTTTCAGAAAATCTGTTCGCATCTACGCCCTGGGGATTATCGGATATGGAGCCGAGTAGCAAGAGGGTGGCCACGAAGCCTGTTGCATCATTGGCCGTCATCCATGAAACCAAGGCCAGCACGGTGCTTTGTAAAAAGTTCACTGACAGAAGGCCTTTCACACCCCAGAACTTCCAGAAGGGGTTCACCGGATGCAGCACCTGGCGCAACTGCCACCCCTGGGAAATTGGTTTGACTTCTAGTGGTTGTGTATAAATCAAACATTATGTATGTATCTATCCAAATATATATATATATATACTCTATATATATATATACTGTATATATATATAGTATATATATATACATATATATATATACATAGATATATATATATATATAACTATGTGTATATATATATACATAGATATATATATATAACTATGTGTTTCAGTGGTGAGTCCTAGGGGCAAAACGCAGCGCCCTATTTCTCTCGAGCCACAGCTCAAGGCCTCCCGGGCAGAGATGGTGACACCCAACGACCCTATGTCACATTGTCAGCCTCCCAAAATTCTGCAGCAATGACTTGGTCACTGCTGTCAAAGGGGGTCTGATTCAATGCGACTTCAACCTACGGTCTCCTTGACGTCCCGTAGCTAGCTCGTCTTCCTCCTTCTGAATCGTCATGTTCTGCTTCTCCAGGAGGTCGTACAGCGGCTGCATGTGGGCTTGCTGCGGAAGCTTCGTCAAAGAGTCGGCCGGGTTGAAGTTGTGTGGAATCCATCTGAGCCGGGACTTCAACTTCACGAGGCTTTCTTGGATGATCGCTGACTCCAAGGCTGCTCGGTCATCTTCTCCCTGAAATTGGCGTTCTGGGCTCGAGGTCGAGTCGAAGACACTCTTAGCATCGATCAGGGCCACCGTCAGCGGGTCCACAAACTTCGGATCCTCGGAGGCGATCACAGTAGGTGGTCCACGAAGACCCATTTCGATCTCGATGTCGTTGGTGATGCTCTTCGGGTCGAACCTCGAAAACTGGAAACTCTGGAAGGTGGCAACTTGCTTCTCCATCGCTGCCAACGCTGTTGAAAGCGAAATGCTCTCACAGAGCGTGGTGCTTCCCGCCTTACGGCGCAGCTTCTTCGATCGCCATGCGATCAGACTCACAGGGGCTTTCTCACCACGGTTAAGTTGCGGCGTGGTGATACCCTGGATCCATCCATGCTGGGGCTTTGTTTTCCCAGTCGGATCGAAGGAAGAGTCCGCGATGAGCAGGTGCCGGATCTGGTCCTCTGCAATGGAAAAGATTCGAATGGTCACCTTGCGGCTCTTTAGAAGCTCCACGACCTGGTTGCACTCGAAGAGGTTCTTCATAGTGGGCTCGGGGAAGCATCCAGATAAAATCGAAGCACTTGCGGAGCCGTCAGGGCGTCCTTCACGTGCTGACCAGTTGATGGCTGCTATGGTTCCCCTGAGCTGAGAGATCTCGTCCTCGTTGAGCTTGATGTTGGCGGCATCCTTCTTCAAGACTTTGCGGTGGACCTTGATGGCGTGGAGTCGGTTGGCCACGTAGTCGTCCATGCTATAGGTGAAGCTGAAATCAGGCAATTGCTTGATTCGCCTTCCAGCATATCCACTTCCACCGCCATTCTCGGTCTCCTGCAAGTTGACGATCTTCCCAAACTTCAGTCTCTTCTCGAGCCACTCCATCTTCTTCCGGTGCTCCTCATCGCCCGCTTCCAACAGGTCGTCGACCTCCAGGACGATGAATCCTCTGGTTTTGACTGGAGCATCGGGGTTCTTCGGATCAAGGGGCCCATCCAAGGTCAGAATGCACCTGTCGTAGACGCACACTCGGTACTTGAGCTCCTTGACCAAGAGCTCGAGTAGGGATCTTCTCCACCAAGCAGGGCCTGATACCAAGCCGTAAACTTCCGTGAGCAGAAGGATCAGTTGTTCAGGACTGTACCCTTCGAAGGCTTCGTCGGCTGGCATCTTGCAGGCTAGCTTCTGCACTCTTGTAGTTGGTCGAGACTGTAAAAAGGCTGTCTTGGCATCCTTTCCAAAGGCCACCCATTTGCGACTTGCTGCCAGTTGCAAAGCCAGATACATAGATGAAGTCAAAGGTGTAGGCGCGGCACGCTCGATCTGGTGAATGTGCGGGTCCTTCCAGCCAACCACACACCAACGAGATTTCGGTGCCAGGCCACTGTGGTTCTCCGGGAGGAAGTCGGGTTGCTCGTACTCCTCCGGCAGGACTCCAAATGCATCCGTGGGCTTCCAGCGGTCCACATAGCGGCTGGTGAGCACATGGTCAGGGTGTTCCTTGGCAAACTTCCGGGACTCCTCGACACTCAGGATCTTGATGGCTCCCGAGTTCAGCAATGAGGCAACTTCTTTGGCACGAGACTTTCGGAAGATGTTCTTGTACTTCTCCGGCAAGTGTCGAAACTCGACTTGGCCAGGTGATGTCTTTGCCTTGGACTTGGTGAGGTACATGCACTGGTCCTTCTCATTGTACACGGCTTCAGATTCCTTGGCGTTGAATTTGGACGTGTCTGGAGGGTTCATAGTATATTTGCCAGTGGGTCGATCCAAAGTCCAGCGTGGTGTCTGGGTAGATGGCTCTGTAGACACTTCGAAGTACAAGCTGTGTGAAGGTCTCGGCCAGGAAGGTACTCCTTGAGGAGGGCTTGGATAGGGCATTGCAGTAGAGGATGTAGGTGGTCCTTCTCGGATGGGACCAAAACCAAGCGTTCCTCCACGGCCTTCATCAACTCGGACTCCACTCAAGCGTCGGTCCGGAAGGGTGTTCTCCGTACCCATGCGGCTGAAGGGCTGTGAGGTGCCATCTGATGGAGCATGACCCATCGAAGGCTCTGCTGTGCTGATCTCTGAACGTCCATCATCAGCGGCTGGTTGAACTTGATCTGGTGGAACTTCATCCATAGGAGCATCTGGTTCCTCAGCGATGGGAGCTAAGGGCGATGGTTCTGCCTCAAGAGGTGAATCTCCACCGGGTAGCGGCTCTTCCTCCTCTGGACCCGGAGAAGGTGAGTATCCGCCGCCTTCGCTGCCATCGTCTGGAGGACCTTCTCCTTCCACATCTCTGTAGTACTTCACCGCATTGGACTCCAGGTCTTCCAGCATTTGTTCAGACAGATGTCGAACAAGCTCTGCTCCAAGGCTTTCCTCCGAAGTGGCTTTCCGGGTCTGCGCAATCGCGACCTTCATGAGGAAGCCTCTCATGGAAACCCAGGCGGTTTCTCCCTTCAAGGCCACAATTGAACCTGGACCGGTCCATCCCTTGAATCCAGGAACATTCCTCCAAACGTAGACTAACTCCCCAACCTTGAAGTCTTTGGTGTCCGAAGTCCTTGTCCTTGTTGACACGGCTCTACGGATTGATTCATCATCTTGCCAGCGAAGCCATGCTTTGGATGCAGCTTCTCGGATGGCCCATGCGCGCTTCATAGAGTCTCCAGCTCCTTCCAGCATCAGCTGCTTGTCGATGCGGTCGTCGGAAAGAAGTGAAGCGGGCATCCTCGGCAAGGTGCCAAAGGCTCGTTGGTAGGGTGTGAAGCCCGTCCTGTTGTAGAAGCGGTTGTGCGCGGTGACAACCTCCTGGATGGTCAGCTTCAGCTCCTCTTCAGTGGTGGCACCAACTTCATGTAGAGCTCCTTCAAGTCTCGTTTTGAAGATGCCACCGGCGCGCTCGGTGCGCCCGTTCTCCCAAGGACTCCGTGCGTTGATGAAGTGCACAGGCACTCCCATATGTCCCAGGTAGTCGGTGAACTGGTGGCCAATGAACTCTCTTCCCTGGTCTGCAACGACCAATGCAGGTGGGCCATAGTGGGCGATCCAGGCACGGCAGAAGGTCTCCAAGACGGTGCTGGCCTGCTTGTCCTTGACGATCTCCACGATCTGCATGTCGGTTCCCCAACACAAGCAGTTCAGCATCCAATAGTCTCCGATCTCCGGCACGTTGATCTGGATTAAGTCCACGCCAACCACCTCGTTGAAGTTCATGGCGCGCTGAAGTTTCCCAGGGCGGTGCGAAGAGGGTTGTTGTTTCCTTTCACAAAGTGGGCACTTGAAATGATTCTTGGTCCACTGCAACACCTCGTTCTTGACACCGGCGTGCTTCAGGGCTCTCACAAACACTTGTAGTGAAGGATGTCCCAAATTGCGATGGATCTTGAAGAGCTCCCTGCGCATCTCTGGGTGAAGGATGTTGTCCGTCGCAGGCTTGCTCAGGTCCAAGGCTCTCAGGGCATGTTTTGCCTTGCTTTCTGATGTCTCATCTGGTGCATTCACTCCCAAGTCGTCCGGCATGTTGACGTCAAGGTCATCACCCTCCGTCCCAGCAAAACGGTTGAACTGGGGGGGTCCAGCAGTGCTTGAAGACGTAGAAGGCGCGCCTCCCAAAATTCTGTGGGATGGAAACGCTGTTGTCCATTCCATTTGCACGGCTGTCTCCTCGGTGATGTAGGAGTGAATGGGATGTGCAGCTGCTCGAACGATGAAGTTTGCAGCTTCTTGCCAATCGTGTGGGAGTAGAATTGGATCTTGAACAGGAAAAGTTGTGGTTCCTGTCCACGAAGTCGTCATAGTTTGACGGGGCAACGCAGTGGTTCGCCAATTGTCGTTGAAGGTCTGCACTGGGCCCTTGTCGAACTTCATGACTGTAGTGCGACTGGATGAGAGCTTGCTAAGTTCCAGTGGGCAGCCAGCAACACCCGTAGGAGAAAAAAGGGCCCTTCGTGGAACTCGATGATGTCGAATGACCTCCTCGTCCTTCACCTCCCAGTAGTCGGAACTGGAGTTGTGAGCCTTCACCCAAGATTGAACATGTTGGCGAAGTCCACGAAGGATCGCATCCACGAAGGCTGGTGTGTATTTTGCGGCCAACGCCGCTTCTCCTGCAAGAAGTGGTTGATGGCTCTTGTGGAACCCCTCACATCGTCGATGTAGGACTGTGGCAAGCTCCTCGATGTTGGTGAGCAGAAGCGTCGGCTTCAAAGCTGGGGCTCCTTTGGACGTCTTCAGACCAAATCTGCATAGGTCCACCGCAACTGCGTGGACACCATCTTCTTGTCGTAGTTGTTGCAGTTCGGTGGTCGTCCACGAGGTAGCGTTCCTCGGATGTTCGAAAAGAAATCCTCGGCCAGCTCGAAGTTGTATGCGTGCCAACTGCACGCTGAAGCGGACATGAAGTCTGCCTTCTGCTTCTTCTCGAGCAACTGTGGCTTGGTCACGTTTAAAGTTGCTCAGGTTTCGTAGTGCTGAAAACGTAGTGCACGGCGGAGAGAGGACCACAAGCACGGGCTGCAACTCGTTGACAAGTCTTAATGCAGCCTTCTGATGGGAGGGCTTGCAAAAGTCCCATCCTGTTGAAAGGTCCAATGCTCCACCAGCTGTGAAACCATTTTTCTCGGCCTTCTTGGTCACCCTCGGTGGCGAGTAAACCTCGAGGATGTTGGGAGACTCCCTCAAGCTTTTCACCAGTCTTCTGTTCAAGTCCTTGTTCATCTGGTGCAGCTTGCCTCGGCCGTCAGCTTGTGCGCTTGCAAAATGCTGCGCAAGGTGGCCATAGACGTAGCAGGCCATGTAGTCGCCGTCGAAGTTGTCCGGCTCAGTGAAACCATCTTCAGTCTTTGCGACCTTGAATTCATTGTCGTGGTGCCATGCAATGAGATCGGGGGATCCAAAAGCTGATACTGTAGTGGGCGCCAGGCAACAGTTCATGCAAAGGAAAACCATGAACTTGGAGAAATGGGTCTTGAGAAGCGACCCCAAAGCCTTGCCGCACTTCCCACCAAGCTGACTCTTGTGCACTAGTCTGCGTGTGGTGGGCCGGCATCCCACTCCTTCTCCTCGTCGCTGATCATGAGAACCTCTGTCGGTCCGAAGGCTTCCTCCAAGTGCTCCATCGTGCCCTCGCGGTCGATGTTGAAGGTCGGCACTCTTTTGGCAGCCTGACTTGCACGTAGTCCCGTCATTTGGCGCTCCTTGGAAGCAGATCGTGCCCGAGCGGTCTCCTGGGAGCTTGTCTTCAATCTCCGGGACGTAGTTGACCCAGTGCCTCCATCCACCATGGAAATCTTTCCCATGTTGGTCACCTTCAGGGTCACTGCTCCCTGGTCTGGCTTCGATCTTGGAGCTGGCAAGAACTGGGGATACGTGCCCTCCAGGGTCTTCAGGCTGTCGGAGTCCGGCGTCTCTGGCACCACCGTGGCTGTCGAGGATGCCGCATGGTCCACATCGAACCTCTCCCAGCGGGATCCGCACGTCAGGCACACCCACCAGCGGTCGAACCGGTTGGCTCTGCAGCGTAGATACTCTGCAGGGTGGTTGCACTGCTCCGGCTCCTTCTCCCAAAACTTTTGTGCCGTTGACCTTTTCAGAGGCTTGCCAATTCCCTGAGCGATCCACTCGGTTTGGTTCGCCTTGCCCTTGGCTTTGGTCGCCTTCTTGAACTTGTCCCCAACGTTCTCGGTGTCCACCTCGTCGCACACCGCCCCCTTCTTCTGCAGGTAGTCCAGAACCATCTGCGAGCGCGTTGTGTTGATCAGCAGCATCATAGCTTTCACCACGCGAGACCAAGCTGTCTCGCACTTCCGAGTCCCAAGCTTTCGACTCGATTCCTCGCCCCTGTCCTCCTTGTCCATCATGGAGAGGATGGAGGCCTGAAGGCTGCTTGCAGCTGCGCTCGACTGGTTCTTCTTGGGCGCCATTGCAACGTTGCAGACGGTGCAGGAACGTTTGGGCTGCTCTTGAAAATGTCCAGCTCATGAGTTGAGCAATTGGGCTGCGAGTGGAGAGAGGTCTCCTTCTTCTCAAACAATTCTTCAGCATGCTGAGTTGGAAAACCTCACCTGCCTTTGAATTTTCACCACGACTTGACGATTCGACTGCACTGCAATCATGCCGATGTGGTTCATCATCATCACCAGCATCCATCTCACAAATTTCATGCCAATTTCCATCACCATCGGTGGCATCCATCTTGTACTCAATCATCATCAGCTGCGCCGCACTGTTTTGCTGCGCGGAAGCTGCATGTCCACCGTGTTGGTGTGTGTAGTGTCCAGCGCCCCCACCAGAGCTGCCACTTGCGCCAGAAGGTCTTGAAGACGATGAGGTCAAACCAAACCCAGGCGGTGGTCCAGGTGGTCGCGGATATCCACGTGGCTGTGCATCCAGCCAAGTTCCAAAAGGTCGGAACGGGTCGCCCTTCTCATGCGACTCGTAGAAGGTGATGTCGCCATGCCACGGCTTCTCCATGATGCGGTTGATGTTGGTGGGCCAGCAGTCCCTCACCACCCGCGACTCATTCTGCGGAAACTTGGCAACCACCTGTCTGCGTTCCGTCAGGTCATAGCGGCGAGCTTGTGGAACATCGAAGGGATCCAAGATGCGAATCCTCCAACCCACGTAGGTCGCCAAAAGCTCCTTGTCGCTGTTTGTCTTGATCACCCAGACCTTGGTCTCCACATTGGGGTCCAGCGCCTGTCCGTCATGCATGACAAACTCAGGGCTGCCCACTTCGTCAAAGGGATCCACAGGTGGATCTGTCTCTTTGGACAAGCTCGATGGGGCCTCTTCTGCGTGCCATTCCTCCTGCGTCTCTGGCAGATTGGCATCTGTTGGTGTAGGTGTTGCAGAAGCTCCTCCACCAGCTCCAGGTTCTTCAGCAGGTTCTGGGGATGTCATAGGGGATGTAGGCGCCGCCGAAGATGCAACATCTGCCGGGGCACCAGCTGCAGTCGTTGTGTCGAAGGTCACACGTCTCGTCGTTGTGGCTCCTGCTCCAAGTCCTTGATTGTTCTGGTCGTCGGCCATGGTGTTGCGTTCCGAAGCATTGGTTCTTGTTGGAGATCTTGACCGATCAGGTCTCGATGCCGCTGATGCCACTGGTGTCGCTGTCATTTCACTGCTCTCCAAGGGCAAAACCTGCGACTCCAAGTACGTCTGGAAGAAGGTCTCGTCCATGGGGCTACCAGCATCAGCTTCGCACGAAACGTGCAAATCTCCAAAACCTTCAGCACCATTGCCTCCCGAAAAATAGTGCGAGGAACGAGGAACAGGAAGTCGGAAAGGATCGTGGCCGCGAACTTGATGTTGTAGTGGCAATTTCCAGGGCGTGGCGTCAAAGTCCAGCATGTGGATAGCCCGATGGCCAGAAGACAAACGTCGCATGTTGGCAGTGTGGCCATCCGGAGTGCTGTAGTGGTTGGTGCTCAGGTCGATGATGGCTCCAACCGCCTCCAAATAGGAAACTCCCAGCAGCGGTGGCGTCACAAAGCTGAGGGTGTCCGTGATGACAGTGAAGCGCAGCACACCCAACAGGCCAGCGATGCATGTTGGAACATCGTAAAGTCCCTGCAGTTTGGCTCGGCCTCCAATGCCGGCACATGGAACTGCAGGCTGCCTGATGGGCACCACTCGGAGGTTGAGCAAGGCCAGCTCTTCCTGAAGGCTCGCAAAGGCCTTGCTGCCGATGATGCATTGCTCTGCTGCGGTGTCGATCACGGCCTCGAATCCACGGACTTGCACACCTGCATATACTGCACGAAGTAGAGCTTCTTCCTTTGGAGGGTACTGGCACTCGTGCTTGAAGACCGCATAGGACGTTGTCGTGCTATGGCCGGTTGGAGTCACGGCCACAAAGGTCTTCTTCGGAGTTGCTGTCGTCGTTGTAGATCGATGCGGACAGTTCCTGCTGACATGTCCCAACTCCTGGCACGAAAAGCACCTGGTGCGTGCCAGCAGCTCTGACTCCGTTCCCCTGATGTAGGGCTCGTCCTTCTGCTGCTTGCCAGCTGACCTTTTTCGGTCTTCCTTTTTCCCACGGCCCTTGCCACGGCCTTTCTTCGGGCTGCTCGATCCCGAAGGCGATCGTCGGCCATGCTTGACGAATCCACGCTCTTTGCGGCGGGATCTCAAATCCTTTCTCACATCGTTGTAGGCCTGGACATACACCGCCTCCATCTCGTCGTACTCCTTGTCCTCGAACTGGATGAAGTCGCTGTCTTCGTCCTCAGTCTCCAGCTCCTCTTCTGCTTCTCTCATCATAGTTTTCTTCATCTTCGCCATCTCCTTCAGCTGTCTGCATGTAGACCTTGCCAAGTTTCTCTGGATAGCGTGGTCGTAGCTTAGAACATAGCGTACGAGCACCCTTGGAGTGGAGCCTAGTCAGGCTCCATGTTAACATCACACTTCCGGAAGGCCTGATAACGCTGTGCAACATTTTCCGGCAGTCCGGATTTGGAAACGCCAGCAACACAGCGAGAGGCCCGGATGGCATCATTTCTTGTCGTAGCATGTTTCCCATAACAAAGAGTCTTGACAAAACGGGAAACGCTGCCCTTCACAGAACCACGTTTGCACTTCCTGCACACATATCTACCTTTGGCATCAGGCTTGTTTGGGATATCATGGACAAAACTGTCTTCCTTAGTGGAAGGACCGGGACAAGGAAATGTCATTTTTCCCATCATCTGCTTTTCAGAGCTAACTTTCTCACCGCATTTCTCACAAGAAAAACCTTTGGACTTTGTTGCAACAAATGCATGGGCCAGGTCACCCAAGCATTGCACAGTTCGAAAACGACCACTGTTTGAGAGGCCACAGCTCGCTGGACAATTTCTGCAAAGCCAACGATCTACACCACGAAACACATCATGACGTCGTTGAGACGAGTCTGGATTTTTCTGTTTCTTTTTCTTTGGCACCTTGGAAGCAGCTTCGGAGCTGCTTTGTGGACCTGGGCAGGGAAACTGACGCTTGCCATGCATTTCTTTTTCATTGGCGGCATTTTCGCCACATTTAGTGCATGTGAAAGACCCTTTATTAGATTCAAAAAAGTGACAACGGTCCCCAAGACATGCAGCATTTTTAAACCGAGCACTATTGCTATAGGTGGCACTACACGGGCATTTCATGCAGTGCCAGCGATTGTCACGTTTGAAGACTTCATGTTTCTCAGCCGAGACAACATGAGCTGGCTGAGTTCCACTGCTTTGAGCCTGTTTCGGATCAGGCTTCGGAGCAGAATTTGCAGTCGGTGTCTCCGTTGCGGCATCATCACAAACCTCAGTTGGCGGGACAGAAGGTTTCCATTTCAAAAAATTTACTTGCTTACATGCCAACTCAACTGGATTTGTTGCTGGAGTAGCACCAGCAGTGATGTCAGCAGAAGCATTGTGGATTTCAACAGCGACGCGCTCATGTAAACAAGCCTCCAGGGCCTGGATGGTTTCATCTGCCTTAGTCATCACAGGTCTTCGGTCGAGACCACTGAACCGATGTTTGCCAGGTAGGTTGGGAATACATTGATAACGAGATTGCCGACCAACAACCACATGCGTGCCAATGAGTCTTGCAAGACTGCGGCAAGCATTGGACATTGCTAGCACTTTAGAATATAAATTGTCAGGGGCTACCAACAAAGGAACGGCAGGTTCGCCATAAGTCCGAAATTTTCTGGCACGATGCTTTTTCGGAGTTCGTGGCAAGGCTTTACCAGTTACAATTTCAAAATTCACAGCAAGTTCAGCCCAAGAGACACCATCACGGGTGGGACCTTTGGGCCACTGCAAGGTGCGAAGAAATTCCAACAAGTCACGAGCAAAAGCTTCAGGCCAAGGAAAAGTGGTTGTGGACAGCCGGGGCACTTCCGGCGGCAATTTTAACACTAAAAATTCAGGCGACACCTGTGTCGGCCGCGGTTCGGACCCAACATCTTTGTTGGGCGGCCAGCCATCTTCTTTCCACGACCGACGAAGGACATCCAGTAAGTATGATTGCACCAAGACGGCAACCTGCACTCTAGTATGCTGTGGGACTTCAAGGTCAGCGGGCACTAAACCACAGAGTTCCAAGCACGGAGACCAAGGACCAAAATTTTGGCGAAGACTCATGAGCAACGAATGTTTGTTTTTGAGATCAGCAAGCGAAGGACATTCCCAAAAGAAATGAACAGTGTCTTGGTGGTCATGACCACAGGTGCAGGCGGATGTGTCAGCACGACCAGCCTGAAAAAGCCGAGACATAGTCCAGACTGCGTCAACCAAGATACTGCGAAGCAAGCGAAGACAGTGGCTGGAAAGCGCCCCTTTGTCACACATGTGCAAGGTAGCAACACGATCAACACCAGCATTTTGCACACCGTCAAAGTGTTTGTGAAGAGTGAAGGCTTGCTGCCAGCCCCAAATGCGCGAAGCATCCCGAAGATAATGAGCAAACTCTCCAGGAGAAATTTGAACAAGAGACACATTGAGACCAGTGTGAATGCGAACCACCCAAGGAGAAACCCAAGTCCAGTTAAGGCAAGAAACAATTTTCCACAACAAGGTCACCGGACCACGAGGGCGAGCGGTTCTCAACGATGCTCTCTGCCACCAAGTTTCCCAGACATTGGCTATAGCAGGATCCCGAATCAAGCAGCGTTGCAGCGTCAGGAAGCTCTGACACATCTGGGCTTGGAACGGATCAGTCAAATGCGATTGGGTGAAAAGCAACAAGATCGCATGAGCAGAGCGGAAACGCCGATGAAATCCCCACAAGGCCGACACGACGGCACTGCGCAAACGAGACAGCACACCGTCACCAATTGGGCAAGTTTCGAGGCCATAAGTGGCCAAGCTGCAAGCAGCACCAGTGACTAACTGAGCTTTTTCATCTAGACGAAGAGGAGCACAACGAACGCGCAAGGCCGCCTTTCGAGCTTTCTGAAACCTGGAACGCAACACAGTAATGCGAGCAGGACCATAATACAAGGCTTGACAACCCAGATCTTTGGCATGTGTCTTTTGCAAAAGCGGCCGACCAAGAAGCTGCACGGAGGCAAGAGCTTTGCGACCACGACGGGTGGTCGACCATGCAAAACATTTGTTAACGTTGGGCTTTTGGTTGGTCAAAGTGGTGAACTCCTCAGTGACAGTGATGGCGGCCTGAAGGTCACCGGCAGCACGTTCAGCATCAACATTTTGAGTTTCCACAGTGGCATCATCAGCAAAACTCCGTACGCTGACAGCGCACTCATTGGCAACAGCTCTGGACCAAATAGACATTAAGAGATTCATGCCGAAACAAGCAAGAGCATCACCCTGTGGCAAACCACGATTAACGTGATAGGGACGGCCCAAGCCATAAGCACTTTTTAAATACTTTTTGGCACCAGTTATCGCACTCAACCAAGTATCACAAAAATTGCAAGGTAACCCACTTGCCACCAAGAGGTTATACAAAATTTGATGCGGCACACGGTCAAAGGCTTTGGCGAGGTCAAGCGAAAAGCCAACTCTGTGAAAATGACAAAGCCACGCATGCTCAGCTGAAGCAGCTGAGGACCAAGCTGGATCCACACTACGTTTACCACGCCTATAAGCATTTTGGGAATCATGAATCCAGGTTTCCTGCCACGCACACAGATCTTGGGCACGGGCTGCAGCCCAGATGCGATAAACCAAGCAAGCCACCGTAACAGGACGCTGGTCGTCACCAGACTCATCTTTGGGGATGAGGCTGACAATTTGAAGCAGCACCTCATCGGGCCAGTCACCACCGCTGGCTTCCACATCATTGAGCATGTCAGCAAGTTTTTGAAACAAGAATTCTGGCCATGTCTTCATTTCATCAATGTTCCAACCATCAGCACCACCAGAGCTATGGTTACACATGCGCAAAAGAGTGGATTGCAAACGAGCACCAGTCAAGGTAGGAAGAACCACAGGAGCACTGATCACATACTGGCTGAATCTGTTCCAAAAAGCACAGAAATCTGCAGGTTCTTCCTGCTCAGGAGAGGGACAAAAGACAGGTTGCCACCGTTCCCAAAGCACACGCTCAATTTCACTGGGGTCCATGGACACGTTTCCAGTTTTTGGGCATTTCACGCTAGCGACACCGAGGGGCCACGCATCACGAACCCAAGTGTAGACAAAGCGGCGACGACCAGGATCACGCCAGTTGCGACGACACGAGAATTTCCAAGCATTGAGCCGAGAGTGATTCTCAGCTTGCACCACACGGTTGGACTCATCCTCGAGAGTACGAAGAACACGCAACAGATGTTCATAAACTGGCCAAGAAGAAGGTTGGGAAACAAAAAGGTCACCGGAGGGGAACAGCTCATGCCACAGCGATGGATCCACAAACTTGGAAGCGCGAGAGACAAGCCTGAACCAATGATGAGAAAACTCATGGAAGGCATCAGCAGAAGTGCAGTTCTCAGCCAGGCGAATGCGAAGCCGAGCAACATGTTCCAAAGCCCTAGCAAAGCGCTGCCTCGCAGCATTGTGAACACTAGTGGCAGTCTCAAAAGCACGACAACGAGGCGGAGCAACACGAACCATGCAGGGAGGACCAGGGAGGCCACGGCACATAGACTTCTTAGACACCGGAAGTCTCGCATACCAACAGTAGAAGTCATTTGCAACTCTGGTGAGCAAGGGCCAAAGGTCAGAGGTGACACCACCATTGCGAGCACGCTGCCAGGCAGGAGCGACAGAACGCCACAACTTTTGAACATGAGCACAGCAAGCGTCAGAGGAAGGAACAACAGGAGAGGAAGAATCCTTCGCACGACGGGGCGTCTTGTGTCTGGTCACAAAGGCATTAAGTGGAGACACATCCATTTGAGCCAAGATCGGTTGATGAGTAGGCAGACCAGAAGGCGGATACGACAAAGACGTGAAGCACTTGGCAACACAAGGGCTGAGAAACAAGCCATCGACACGAGTGCCTTTGCTAGCACAAGCATTTGCCCAACAAGTCGGAGGGGGATCTAAGACACCACAACGACGAGCATGCTCAGCAGCAGCATCAATCCAACGGCCATGCAGAACCAAGTTGTTGAGAGCCAAGCTGTCCGCAAGTAACAAGTTGAAATCACCACCAAACACAATTGGAACCTGACCCCAAGACATACACTCTTCCGTAATGTCTCTCAGGTACTCTTCATTTTGCCTTGTAACAGAGGGCTTGGTAGAGCCACCAGTCACACCATAGAAAACCACCACATGCAAGGGCTGGCAGCCAGCAATCGCACAGGTAACATGGAGCAGGCGACCATCATCAGCCAAACGTTGGAGAGAGCGATTCGACCAACGAGCTTCACGCACAGGCAAAGTAGAGACAACGGCGACACCAGACAAGGTGGAGAGACCAGCAGTCTTGCAATCCTTGGAACCCACAGAAGCCGAAGCACTGCACTTAAAGACACCGTGGAGCCCAATGCGATGAAGACCACAGAGACAGGCACGTGCCGCAGAGCTGGAAAGGTGAGTCTCCGAGAGCAACCAGAGACACGCACCAGTGGGAGGATGATCATTCAAGACCTGAGGCCAACCAGCAAACCAACTAGTGATATTGGCAACCACAAACTGCAAAGCACTGGTGGGAGACGGGTCACAAGGATCAGCAACCAAGACAGCGTCACAAGGCGAAGGAGCACGCTCAGGAACAAGCTTGTAGGCAAGCAAGGTAGCATCTTGTTGTAAATTCCAATGCCGATGGACAGGAGAAGCCAGAACGTATTGCCTGCAGTCATCAAGACAAGTCCAACCCAAATCAGAGGCAGAAGGAGGCAGAACAGTCACATAATGACCAGCGCCAGGGACATCACCAATGTGAATCGTGGCAGCAGCGAGCTGATAGGTACGACCGAACCAAGAAACACGATTGGGCACACGAACGAGGGAGCGAGACTTGAAGCCATCCACAGCGCGCCGAATGTGAAAGAGCACAAAAGGGAGGTGAGCAGAGGGCGTGGGCGAATCCAAAAGATGATGCATGCGACCACAAGTCACACAGTCCAAATACACATGTAGACCTTGCCAGTCGTCGCTGTTGTCAACGCTCCAGCTTTGGCCAACGTGTCCAACCTGTCCAGAGGTTGCAGGGTCTTGGCAACCTCGTCATAGGAGAGCAGGGTGTGCTTCTTCAGGGCCACAAGTTGTTGTTGGTTCTCGGTCAGGCCAGCTTGTCGAAGAAGCACACGTCCAGCTATCAAGGGATGGACCTCGGCACCAATCTGCGACTCCAGCTCCTGCTTCTGGGTGGACTTGCGGCTCAAGTAGGCGTTGAAGGTTTCCCTCGGGGCTCTCTCACCTGAGTACAGGAACGTGTCGATGGAGAGCGGGCCAACAGCGTCCAAGTAGGGCTGGAACTTCTGCATCAGCGAAGTCAGCACCGCGCTGTAGCCATCCGAGGTGAGCAAGACCTCCGTGCTGACCGTCTCGGCGATCTTGCGAGCTTCTCCAGAAAGGGACTGGAAAAGTCGCACACCCCATTTCTCTTTGGGCAGGTTCGACTCCGTCTCCCAAAAGGACAGTTGTCGCAGCCAGCCACGTAGTCCAGATGGAGTCCCGTCCCAAGTTGGAATGGGTAGCTTGCGATCGCCAGAGACCGCATCAACGAGCTTCGCCAGCAGTTGCTCGTTCGTCACATTGGCACCAGGTGGTGCTGTAGACGACGGCATCGTCTTGCCCATAGCTTCAAAGGCCGAAGTCACTGGCTTGAAGCCCGGCCGTTCCTCTCGAAGTCTTTGGCTGAACTCCTTGGCATTGGTCACGGTCTCGGTGGGCCTGTAGTTGCTCCATGGGTCTCCAGGTTGCGCTCTCGGTCCATGCCTGTCAGGGCTACCAGCGACCGGAGGCGTCATGCCTGCCAATGGAGAGTTGCCCCCCGAGCCAATGCCATTGGACTGCAAGTTCTGCCCAAAGCCAGGCATTCCATTGCCCATCATTCCATTGGGAGCTTGTTGGAATACTGCAGAAGGTACTTGATGAGGTTGAGGGCCAAATCCGCCAGGGAGTACTGGTCGATGTCCTGCGCCGTATCCACCAGGAAGTGCTTGTTGAGGTAGTACGCCATGTCCGCCAGGAAGTGCTTGTTGAGGTACCGCACCAAGTCCACCAGGAAGTGCTTGTTGAGGTACCGCACCAAGTCCACCAGGAAGTGCTTGTTGGGGTACTGCAGGTTGTGGTGGCGTCAGGCCATAAACACCCATGCCATAGGGGCCAAAAGGTTGACCATAGTCTGCCATGCCCAGACCTCCATAGGCTTGAGGTGGCAATCCCCCATGTACTGGTCCTCCAGGGTGAACTCCTTGCGGAGGTGTAGTGCCAAACAATCTGCTTGGCATCGAACTCCAGTTGGAAGCCGGCGCTCCAGACCATACGTTGGTTATTGGGCTCATGTTTGCATTTGAGTCCATGGGAATCCCATAGCCAGGCGGCGGAGCAGCTGTCGCCCCATTGGTCTCTGTCGGGCCTGCTGTTGCGCTGCCTTCGGCATGAGGCGCACCAGTCGTTGCAGAGGTTGAAGGGCCAGCCTGCTCGTTCGCTCCGAAGTAGCTGCTGGTCACTCCATCTCCATGTTGGTGGCCTTCGGATTCCCAGGCCTCGTCCACAGCGCCATCCCCTTCGGTGCTCTCATCGGCAGCCGGATCAGCTTGGTGTCCTTGTCCCCCTCGCCCAGCTGCAGCGGCACCACGGCGTGGGCGAAAGCGCCGCGGAGCTCCTCCCGGCATGGCCAGGAAAGGTCTGCCGGCCGTAGCCGGCTCCGCTACCACTGTTTCAGTGGTGAGTCCTAGGGGCAAAACGCAGCGCCCTATTTCTCTCGAGCCACAGCTCAAGACCTCCCGGGCAGAGATGGTGACACCCAACGACCCTATGTCACATTGTCATATGTATATATATATATATAGAAGACTCACAAATTATTCATATATAAATATATGTATAATATATATACACATACGTACAATAATAACAACAATAATAACAAAGAAAACAAACTACACAAATCCCTGTGGGAATGGGAAGCGCCATGACACCATATTGAAGGCGCGCTCGTATTGAAGCACGGCAAAGAGCGCAATGCTGCATGTGAAAAAGTCTGCGACCATCATCATTAAGGAAGTGGAGTTCCACACATCTTCACCTCAGGATCTTTGGTCTTACCAAATCCATTAGACGACATGTATCGAATATGTGTGTATGATATGAATATCAATGTCAATGTCATTGTCATTGTCATCATCATCATCATCATCATCATCATCATCATCGTCATCATCATCATCATCATCATCATCATCATCACCATCACCATCACCATGACTGATATGAATATCAGTGTCATTGTCATCATCATCAACATCATCATCATCACCACCATCATATCTAGTTTTACATGCATGCTCCTAGTCCGATGTCACAATTCTACATAGGTGCCGAAGTCAGGTGTTGATCAGTTGCAATATTCTTATGATAACATCCAACTTGACTTGATGTTTGAAAGTCTAATCCCTTTCGCCAAATATTAAATACCCCCTTGAAACCATGGTTTGGTACTCATATGTAATCGTGTTGGATCTCTATTCATTTGGGGGGTGGTCAAAAAAAAAACAGAGGGACATGATTTTGCTGCTGTCAACATAAGTCAACTAAGTCAACTAAGTCACAAGCCAACGAACTGGCGCGAGTATGAAGAGAGTGATTCAGTTTCTGCTCATTGACTGCCAGGCTGATGTTGTGATGAGGAAACCCCGACCGTGCGATGAAGTCCAAAGCCGTCTGGATGTGGAGATCGGTCAAAAGTATGACACACTCCCTGAAATGGATGGTTTCGTAATCCGCTATTATTGAATACCCCCTTGGAAACCCTTGCTTAGTCTTAGATCTGTTCCTTTTGGTTGTTTCTTAATGGAAAACACAATCGAGTCAAGACATCGGCACGCAAGACATCAAAGGGTTTCAGAAATGTTGGTCATTTTGTGAAGCCATATGGGGAAGTGTTTTAAATTTGGGGGATGGGATGATTCATAAAACTGAAGAATTACGTGGGTCTATAGGTTCCCCATTTGTTTCACTATACCCATGCAAGGAAAAGGAAGCAAGCGAACCCTGTAGTGAAACAATTCAAAACTGCCAAGCTGTTTTGAACGATTGTTCAGTGGAGAGCTCGTAGATTCTTTCAGTCCCTGCAATGTGTGCTATTGTCAAAACATGTCACAACTTTCAGAAGGCATATCACTTGCTTCGAATGTGATTTGTTTTGAGTCCCTACGTAGAAAAGGCACGAAGAATCCAGCCCTTCAAATCCTCCAAATGGGCCGAAAGCATTGATCAACATGATTTGAATAAGCAAACGGTTTCCCATTTAGCAAAAGAAACGGTGTCCCAAAAAGATGGTCTCCACGTTTCACATCCGCCTTGCAGGAGGAGGGTTGCAGCCAATCCCATCCCTTCACAGCCACCAAGATGAAGTTGCAACTGAAGGCCAGAACCACGTACTGCTTGATGCCGAGCGACATGACCTCAGCGAACTGAAGATGGAACGTGAGTCAAAATGGCCTCCATCTTTTGGACCCATTTCATCCCACGGCCGAAAAATCTCAAAATGTCAAAATGTCAAACTTCACCGACAGAGTCTCAGACTGCAGACTTCTTTGTAGCGAAATTTCGACCTTATCAGATCCCATGCTGGGACTTAAGGCGTCGACATGGACCACCAATAAGCGTTGAAAGGCGTACAATGCCACAGCCGAAAAGAGCTCTGAAATATCCATCATTGACTCTGCTGTCCATGTATCTTCTCGGTTAGTGGTGATCACCCGCAAAGCCGAACATGCACAGATACCATAGGTGGGTGGTAGCAGCAAAACGATGGCAGTGTATTGGCCGATCTTCAGATTTCGCTCCTTGGATTCTGCCATCCATCTCAACAACAACCGCCCAGACAGGAGAGTGGCAGCCCAGCACAGGCATAGTCCAGTCAACAGCCAGAAGGTATGTAAGCTCTCGGTAGGCACTCGAAACACCGACTGAACTTCGTGCCGTTCTGTGCGGACGCAGGCATACTTCCCGCAGCCCGCTTCGAAAAAGAAGACGTAGTTTTTCTTCACCTTGGTGGCTTATCACAACTGCTTAGATTTGACCTTTCGTGGGATATGTGTAACTGTAAAAGTAAAAGAATGACCCATGTTTTGCCCAACCAAAATTCAACTATATAACATAGACATGGAGAAGTGATAGGTTTTCCATATCTATGTTGCGCTTCAGCCCAGTTTTTTTTTCCCGTGTACAGATCCAGTGGGCCCCAGTCACACACTGCGTCTCGGCGCACTCATCCCCAAAGGTCACCAGGCCGCAGGGCACCCAGCCGGTGAAGATCAGGAAAGTTTCGCGCACCAAAAGGACCCCGCAGTTGGCCAAGTAACAGAAGCTGATGCACAACAGGGGAGCTCGTGCAAGGCACCACATCAAGAGCAATACCTTGGGATGGGGACACTAATCCTTGGAAGGCAAAAGCAAAAGTTTTCTTGGATGTTAAGACCTCTTTTTGTTCAGAAATTTTGATTTTCCTGAGGAAAACGGAAAACATGGGTTGATAGATGTACAGTATACAGGTGAATTGCCACATCGCCACCCAAGAGCCCACTGATTTGACGGTTCATCAGGACTCAATGGGTTTTTTGCTGTTACATATATGTACTATGTATTATCTATAATATACATGTAACATTACATATATATATATATATATATATGTAATGTTACATGTATGTTGCAGACGTACATACGTATATGTATTTGTGACATGGCACCATGCAATATTACACTAACCAATTAGACCGCCACCCAGGCCTGAAAATGGGGCACCCAAAGAACTTGACGGTTGATCACAATTTTCCCTACTGAAGAAATTGTCATTTGGAGCATACCTCATTCTTTGACATACCCAGGATAAATCAAACTGGTTGTATATCGAATCTACGACCATTATGTTTTGGCTCATCTTCAACCTTTCACCTCGGATTTTTATGTCGTTAGTGTCTTCAATGATTTTGGGTATTTAAGAAAGATTTGCAAGATCTGCCCAGTTTTATGGATCCAGATGTTCCCATTTCTCCAGTTGCAGTGATCGCGGCAAAAAGGGCCCAGCATTCGAAGCTACACAGAGACGTCGAGAGCCAACCTGCCAGGCTGACACAGAACAGCAGCAGGCCGTAGAATAGGCGATAACGCGCCATGGCGGCACCCTGAAAACATGAGAAGATGGTGGATTTTACTATCAAAAAACGGGTTATATAGGTATCAAGAATGGATCAGAACGGGACGTCTTACTATCTAAAAAATGGATGTGCAATGACTTAGAAGTTAAGTTGGAAGCAACTTAATCTTATCTGGTCAACAGTTGAGCCAGCCCGCCTAAAAAAGATGCCGGCCGTTGGGGATCAGAATCTCAGATTTCGTTTGCTGCTGGGATGGTTTTAGTGTTTGGTTTTCGTAAGTTGCCTACGCTCTTTATATAAATTGTTTTTGCAATTTGTTTTGCTTATAAACAAAGATTGGGGATGTTTTTTACTACTATGGCTTTATAAAAGTGTCAACTGGTATGGTTTTATATACATTTTTTTGTTGGGCAATTGTTGGGGATGTTTCACATCCAAGTGATCGGAATGGAATCCAACCCAATGGTAGCTCAGCATTTCCTTGTGGGTTATCTAAGTGATGTCCTGGAGCCGGATCAAGACCAAAAACTGGGGAAATGCAAACCGTACAAAAGGGCTGTCAAATGGGATCGTCCAAAGTAAGATTAAAGTAAATGAAAATACATGAAAAGAAATAAAAACAGGTGCAAGTCGTTTTGGAACCGAAAGCGCCTCAACGATACGGTTTCAGGTGAACATTTTGTAACTGACATGTTACTGCTATGAACTACTGAATGTCTTGCAGGATGAGTGAAATGTTTTTACCTCACCTCAACTTGCATCTTTGATGCTATGCTGTTCATTGCGCTCCTTAGGACTCATGATAGTCCATCCTGTCACTTCTTTTGGAGCTCTGTGCTGTAAAACTTTTTGGCACTATTGCCAATGCTGAGAGTCTGGTGTCTCACCCTAATGACAATTTTCGTGTGGTGCCTTTGTAAGACTGCCTCTCTCACGTTCAGAATTTTTGTCTTCCTTCTGCACTTTCGTTCTCGCTTGGGTCTCCAGCGGTCGGGCTATAGTGAACCACTGCCCATTCGTCTGGATCACTCACTTCTCCTTGTTCACTAGTGCGGTAGCGCTCGAGACGTTGTGACGCCGTCTCGCCGCTACACATTGAATCATCTCCATCTGAGTCTTCTGGGCGCTCACGGCTTTTGAAAGTCTCTGCAAAGATCTTCAAAAGGTCCATGGTGACTTCCACTTTCTGCAGCTCTAAAAGTCTCACCGAACATCGATGAACTTCTCCATGACTGTTGGTCAGAAAAACTCGTTCAGCTTCTCCAAACTCATAGGTTGGTGAGCTCTCTCTCATGCTCGTCACCAATTGATTCCAAAACTTTGCGACGATCAAACGAACTTGCAGTTGGTAGATGGCACAAGCATGTCTCGAGCCACCTTTGTATCTCCTGATACCTCATGCTAGCCCCTATGTTCCCAGCTGTTGTTGCCCTTCGAAGTTTTCCACGTATTCGCACAAAAGTCCATGTGACAAGACCTTCAATGCTCGTGGATTCATGTGTCACCTGGGGTTCTGGGGCAATGCTCAGTGTGTCAGCAAATAAAGGTAGTTGCACATTGCTGAATTTGTTCGTGTTGGGCAGCGTATACCATGAGTATCCAGCTAAAAGCAAAGTCCAAGTCATCAAGAATGCAAAGCTAAACCAAGATCCATCAGTTGAAGATGAAGAGAAGGATGTAGTTGCGACACATCCCTGCAGTTGCATGGCCATAGCGCCTTGCAAACTGATCATCGCGGTGCGACCTGTCCTCATTCTTGTTGATCTGGTTTCTTCTGCTTCATCCATGTCTTTTGTAGGGCTACTCTCATGGCTGCTGAGATCGTCTATTGTGTTCAGCATCTCAGTAGCTTGGTCTCTTTCTGCATCACTTGCTGCTCCAATGAAGTTCATGAAGTCAGCCAGCAAAGCTCCAGTGCCTGCATGTTCAATTTTGTCTGGCACAGGTTCAAGGCAACATGCTGAAGAAGTTGAAGTGGAAAAATGTGTATGCGTAGGGGCGACATTGCTGAACCTTCTGCTTCCACTAGCTCTTTTTTTGTTCGACAGCCGTTTATGCTCTGAGGCACGGTCTTGTCAACTTGAACCTTACTCACGGGCCAGCGGGGAATCGAACCACCACCAGCAGTCTGTCAGCGCCGTCAAGAACGACGCCCTACCAACTGAGCCACGAGGACTACTCCTCTACTTCCACTAGCTGCACTAGCTCCAGCTTTTATGAATCTGGGTGGCCTCGCAGCAGCTAGAACCTTGGAGCGGTTGCTACGGACAAAAGCACCCGCTACACTACGCCGTCACCTCAGCCTGGCGTCTTTGGGTTGATTTCGCGCACATGAATGATCTGTGTTCGAGCCTCCAGAAAGTGACATAGTTGCCTTTTTGCAGGGATTCGTGACCAATGGCAAATTTAAAGACGGGGGCCAAGAACACCTTGTGCGCCTTGAAGTTTGTTGCTGTATTGAATGAAGGGCTGGCAAGAATGGGTTCGTAAAACTTTGCACCGCTAAGTTGTGCCTTGAAAACCAAAACAAAACCTATCGCGATCAAAGTTACCCAAAAGCTTTTCCACAAATACACAAACGTGAGTCAAACTTTCCCTGCTCTCGCTGAAATCACTCCAGACAACAAGCAACGCTTCAACACACACTCTGTTTCTCTCGCCCGGGCTTGAGCCAACGAATGTCGTTGGATGTTCAGTCCAAATACTGTTTAAAGGTGACAAAAACCAAGAAGGGGTTTTTTGTTTAAACTGCAAACTGGATTCCAGTCTTGAAAATTCCGAAAAGCGATCCACTGAGGATCAAAAGCTTTCATTCGGTTCTCAAACTGTTGAAATGTTTCCAAGCGGTTCAAATAAAGTTCGGTTTCCACAAAAACATCACAACTCTCAACTACAAAACGAGACGAGTGCAACCGCAGTGTCGATTGTGCTCGTTGAGTGTCACAAAATGATCTATGCTCCACGAGCATCGAAAAAACATCCAAATGTATATCTTCCACCGATGATATTCCACCAAATCAAAACTACAAAGTACGATCTGTCCATTCAGAGTCGTTCCAACCAAGAAAGACCCCCTTTCTTTGTCATATTGTTTTGCTCCAATTTCTACAGCCTTGAGGTCCTTGAGGTCTGCCTGCCCCAAAATGTTTTGTTCTAATTTCCATCTCGCGACACTGGAGTTCGAGACTTGCATTGAAGCCTACCTCTGACTTTGTTTCATCCTATAATTTTTTTGTTTGGTGCAATTTTCCATACCCTTGAAGCTTCGAGGCTTTCCTTGAGGCCGTCTCTTTGCCAGCTACGGCCTAAAATTCTAGCGAGGAAGCCCAGTTACTATTTCAAGTTCAGCTTGCTGGGCTTCAACAATAGTATTACAATTTCGAGTCCCCGTGAGCCTCGCTTTGTTTTGCGTCCAAGGCGTGGCCTCGCCAGGCCTCGCCGAGCCTCGAATCGCCTCGATTGCAGGCTTTGGAAATATGGCAGCTCTTAAAACAGAAAGATTGTCAGGCAAGCAGTTCGTTTTTGGCAGCTCAAACTGATATGATTTTTGAGACGGAGTTGTGGCCTCGGAAGTCGTCCTCGTGGTGAAGTTGGTAGGGCATCACTCTTGTGGTGCTGACAGACTTCCGGTGGCGGTTCGATTCCCCGCTGGTTCGCGAGTAAGACTCAAGACCGTTGACCCGCCGAAAGGTAACGGGCTCGGACAAAAAAAAATTGGAAGACACATGACGTATCTGACTTTCAATGTCATTTTTGGAACCAGTTTTTGGAAGCCAGCGATCGCATTGTTTTATCTTTAGCATCTTCTGTGCCTTTAGCGGCGCTATCCATCATTGATGATTGCGTGCTAATCTCGTCGGGTGCGCAGCACTTGGAGCAACGAAAAAGTCAAATTTCGTGGCAAGCGCACTTGGAGCACGTTGTGATTTGTTTGTGGCCAGCGCAGCATTTTCAGCAGCTAAGAATCATTTTGCGTGGCAGGTGCAGCACATTAAGACGTTATAATTTTTTGTGTGGCCAGCGCAGCATTTTCAGCAGCTAAAGATCATTTCGCGTGGCAGGCGCAGCACTTGAAGCACGTTATCATCAAAAAGTGGCACGCGGCTGTGGGAAAACCTGCGAGCATAACGTGCTTCGCGCGTTGAAAAAGGTTAAAATATATTGGTCTCTCTGCGCGAGGAGGACGTTGTGATTGAGTGCGCGCGTGTGGCGCAGTGACAATTTTGAATCGTAACGTGGTCTCCTGTTCAGGTGGGTTTGAGAGTCGTAGGCGGGCTTGCAGGGTTGCAGGTGGGGTGTACTTTGCACACCGTGGTGGTGGTGCACCTTAAACACTGGTGTGGTTCACTTAAGCACGGTGGTGGTGGTACACTTTAAACACTGGTGTGGTTCGCCTTTAACACCGACCTCAATCTTACCGGTGTGGTTCACCTTGAACACCGGCGGTGTGGTACACCTTAAACTTTAAACACTGGTGTGGTTGACCTTAAAACACCGGTGTGGTAAACCTTTAACGCCGGTGTGGTTCACCTTAGAACACCAATGATGCCGGAGGTCACCGCGAGGTCAGCTCGAGATCGGCTCAAGGTGGTCAGGGCAGGAATCTTCTTCAATGGCCAAGCTTGGTGAGGAAGATCCAGCGCAAAAGGCATGGCTGGACTTGGGGTAAGCAGGAATGATTCACCATTTGTTTTTGTTCAGTGTGCCCAATGTTCTTGGACGTGTTCCGTTCTAGTTTGCAAGTGTGCAAGCGGCAGGCTATGCCATTTGGAAAAGATATGATTTGGGCAATCATTGAAGGACCGTTTGCAGGTTATGCTTTCTGTGGTTTCGGCTTTTGGGGAAAGAAAATTGCCTGCAGGAGGATGGTTAATTATCAGACACCCAAACTGCAGAAGGTACCGCAACCTTCGAAACCTACTTGGGTCAGCGTCCAGGACGTCGTCCTTAACTCACTAAGACCGTCCACGCAACCAAGTCAACCACTCCCAGAGCTCAGCCACTTTTACACAACCACAAGCACAGAAACATATCTT